CCCCATCCTCCAATCTCTCTGCCCCATCTTCACATCCCCTCCTCTGTGTGTGTGACCCCTGCACCCACCTATGATACAGGCGGTGGCGCTCAGGGCCCGCCCTGACAATCCAGAGCAGACTCCCTATGTCAAGAACCTCATTGGAATCACATCTGCAAAGACTCTTTCCCTCAACAAGGCAACATTTACAGGTTCCGGGGCTTAGGGCCTGAAGTCTTTGGAGGGACATTGCTGTGCCTCCCTCATCATGAAAATTTATCTGTGAGCCCAGGGCTTGCTGAAGAAAACCAGCATCCTGCGTCATCATCAGTCGGAAAGGCGTTGGGACCAGCCAGGAGCTGGGCGTGGGGATAAACCACTTTGTAGAATGTCTGGGACATAACAGCCATCAGCCCAAAGTGTTATCCAATTTTCTTCCCCAAATTGTCTTTTATCTTTATTTTAAGTATTGATAACAACGTTATTGACTTATAGTTGAATATATTCTTTTTAACCAAAAAATCTCCATAACTTAAACGCTGTCAGTGCTTCCAGGGGTCAGAGTTATTTGGTCTAGTAATAATTAATGTCGTTTTTAAACATTCATTTAAAATCTTGCTTGGCGTTGACTTGTATTGACATAACCTTCAAACACGTGGTATCTACAGAACGTGTGAAGTGCAATTAACAAGTTTTGCTTGAAAAAGTTTGTGTTTGGTTTGGTTTTTGTTGCAAAACTAGGGCTAAGAAGATGGCGGATGAAGAGCATATTCGGCACTGCATGCTTTACGAGTTCCAATTAGGAAGAAAAGCAAGTGAGGCTGCAAAAAACATCTGTAGTGCTCTTGGTCAAGATGCAGTTAGCGCCAGACAATGCCAGCATTGGTTTGAGAAATTTCGCGAGGGAAATTTTTCGTTAGATGACAAGAGTGGTCGAGGCCGTGTGTCCAATTTTGATCAAGAAGCTCTTCAAGCTCTTTTGGTGCAAAATCCTCCAATTACCCAACAAGAGCTTGCGACAACTTTAAATTGTTCACAAAAAACAATTTCCAATCAATTGCATGCACTTGGCAAAGTCCAAAAGTTTGGAAAATGGGTTCCTCATGAGTTGACCGAAAACAACCGTAATCAAAGAGTCACAATTTGCAGTTCGCTCCTCTCTTGTCAAAACCGTTTGCCGTTTTTAGAGCAAATTGTTACCGGAGATGAAAAATGGGTGGTATATGTTAATTTGAAAAGGCGGCCTCAATGGTTGGACAAAAATGAGGCTCCGCAGCCCACGCCAAAACCTGACTTGCATGCGAAAAAAGTGATGTTGTGTGTTTGGTGGAATTTCAAAGCAATTCTTCATTATGAACTTTTACCATCTAACCAAACCATTACAAGTGCAGTGTATAGTGCCCAATTGGAAAGGTTAGCCCAAGCTTTAAGAGAAAAAGAACCTGCGCTGATTTATCGGAAGGGCGTAATTCTTCACCACGATAACGCAGGACCGCATACTGCAAGAATCACTGCTGAAAAACTGTGCCAGTTGGAATGGGAAGTTCTCCCTCAACTTGCATATTGTCCTGATATTGCCCCTTCCGATTACCATTTGTTTCGTTCTTTGCAAAACTTTCTTCTTGGAAAAAAATTTAATAATGAAGAATGCCTCAAAAATGCATTGACCGAATTTTTTGCATCAAAATCACAAAAATGCATTGACCAAATTTTTTGCATCAAATCACAAAATCACAAAATTACAACAGAGGGATTAAAATGCTTCCTGAGCGTTGGGCACAAGTAGTAGAAAACAACAGCAACTATATTGTTGATTAAATTTTGTTGTATTGTTTAAATAAATTCGATTTAAAAAAGTATTAGAAAAAGACATTAATTATTACTAGACCTAATAGTTGGAAGACTTTGAAACATGTCTCAAAGATCTTAAAAGCTCAGAAGTGGGGACAAATGTGGAGGATTCCCTTACCATTGCTAAAACAACACAGATACTCAACTGATTCAAATCCCTTTTCTCTCCCCAAAACATGTGGACACAACTTCAGGTTTCCATTTCTCTCCCAGCTGGTTAGGAACTGCTCATTGACATGCTGGGGCAAGCTGAAACACATGCATGCACCTCAGACAGTAGGGGTGGCCTGCCATCAACTTAGAGTGTGAGTCCAGGTCTAAAGTGCATGAATATCCCTTCTGTGTGCAATAATCTACGCAGCACATCTTCCACACCTAAAGCATATGGCAGCACTCTCAGCTTTCGATCAGAATGTCATGCGGAATGGCACATCACTTACAACGCTCTTGAGCAAGAGAATTTTCTCAGAGATGAGGCATCTGCTTAAAAGTCATCATTCCAGCATTTATGTCTGCCTGCTCTGGGGCCAGCAGACAGAATACCTGAGCTTGCACGGGGACAAGTCTCTCAGTGCCATCTGTGCTTTTCTGGGGTACTGGGAATGGGACGAGGTGTGGCAGACAGACAGGTGCGCACACCTCGGATACACAAAGAGCTGGGAGCAGGTGAGTGCTCCATAACTCAGCCGGGCTGGGAACTGACTCTCCTGGGCATCCCTCAGCAAGCGATGCTGCACAAAGGAACCGAGTTTTATTATTTATTAAAAAAAAAATATATATATATATATATATATATATATATATAATTTATTGATTTAAGAGAGGAAAGAAGAGGGAGGGAGAGACAGAAACATCCATAATGAGTTGCTTTCTGCAAGTCCCCCTACTGGGGATCAAGCCCACAACCCAGGCATGTGCCCTTGACCAGAATCAAACCTGGGACCTTTCAGATCACAGGCTGGAGCTCTATCCACTGTGCAAAACCAGCTATGGCAGTAACCGAGTTTTTTTGTTTGTTTGTTTTGTTTTTAAACATATTTTATTGATTTTTTTACAGAGAGGAAGGGAAAGGGATAGAGAGTTAGAAACATGGATGAGAGAGACACCGATTCAGCTGCTTCTTGCACATCTCCTACTGGGGATGAGCCTGCAACCAAGGAACACGCCCTTGACTGGAATCGAAGCCGAGACCTTTCAGTCTACAGGCCGATGGTCTATTCACGGAGCCAAACTGGTTAGGGCTAGTAACAGAATTTTAAAAACAAATTCCAATGTGCTGGCTAGCCGCACTCTCTCTTCTCTCTCTGTCTCCATTTGCCTGACTCGCTCCCCATGATGCAAAGATCACATTCTAAGCATGCTCTTTTTTTTTATCGATATAGTAAGAAATTCCCTTCTGTTCCCATTAACTTCTAAGATTTCCAGTTTTTCATTCCCTGATAACTATAAAAACAGCCAACAGCAGCACAGAGCAGGCAAACCCTCACTGGCCTCCCAGGTGAAATGTCTGGCCGCTCAGGCACAAGTGGACCTGGCTCTCCTAACCCTCCTCCACCCTCACAGGACGGAGAGGAGGTCCCCAGTGCCACCTCCCACTCGGGTGAGGAGTGGGGTGAGAAGCAGGACTCACAGCCCCCACACTCCTGGGTTGCGACCTTCCCTCTGAAGTCCTGTAGGCACACGTATCCCAAACAAACAGAGCTTCCACTCACCCGCGGTCTGCCTGGGGAGCTGTGGGGCGGCCCGCTTTCTGCCGTAGGAATCTCCGATATTCCTAGGAAGTGCTTTATGCTCCCGTCTGTTCTGCAGCAGCAGTTGCTAAATTTTATTTTACCACAGTCATTATGTATGTGTGTGTATATATATATATATATATATATATATATATATATATATATTTTTTTTTTTTTTTTAACAGAGAGGAAAGGATAGGGATAGAGAGCTAGAAACATCGATGATAGAGAAACATCGGCCAGCTGCCTCCTGCACACCCCCCACTGGGGATGTGCCCACAACTAATGTACATGCCCTTGACCGGAATCGAACCTGGGACCCTTCAGTCCACAGACCAATGCTCCATCCACCGAGCCAAACAGGTTTTGGTTAACACAGTCATTTCTAACTCCTCACCACACTTTACCCAGCAGACTGGCTTGACCAAGCACTGCACCCGTTCCTTCCTGAGGACACCCAAGCTGGCGCCTGCAGCTCGCTGCTCCCCAGGAGGCCACGCACCTTAGCTGCGGCAGCTGATGCTCACCACGAACCAACTGTGCTGGGCATGAGCCAGCTCGTGCCCACTTCACTTGTTATGGGAATCATAGGAGGCAATCACATGTATGTAAGATGATTTGACAGTACAGAGAGAGGGTTGCCGCCCCTATGCCATTCAGCGGAATGCTTTTAGGAGCCTTGTGACAGCTGCATCAGAGTAGTGCAGGTGATAATCATAAAAGACAAGGAAACATCTGAAAACTCTACAAGGGTTTCACACTCGGATGGCTTTAAGTGGTAGGTTTTCTCTTTGTTTAAAGAGACGGAAACGGAACATGTTAGACCAGTGGTCAGCAAACTCGTTAGTCAACACAGCCAAGTATCAACAGCACAACGATTGAAATTTCTTTGGAGAGCCACATTTTTTAAACTTAAACTTCTTCTAACGTCACTTCTTCAAAATACACTTGCCCAAGCCGTGGTAGTTTGTGGAAGAGCCACATCAAGGGGCCAAGAGCCGCATGTGGCTCGCGAGCCACGGTTTGCCGACCACGATGTTAGACGGTGCAAAGGCGCTGTGTAACTTGCAAGCGAGCAGGCTTAACATCAGGTAAACAAACACTTAAGAACTGATGAATTTCAACTCGAAATAAAGAGTTTATATATATTTTTAACTCCCCTTGCTGACCGACTCCCCTTTCTTTTGAGGTGAACTAGTCAGTCGCTGACCACAGCTGTTGGCTCAGGGGCTGCACCTGCCCGGCCCCCGAGCCGACCCGCGCAGCCTGCCCAGCGGCTCGCCCAGGCACGAAGGGAAGCGCCAAGGCTGAGGGTCCGCTCAGGCCACGGTCACCACACGCTGCCAGTGTGTGCAGCCTTCCTGTCGACCCAGCTCTCCGTCACCTCCCAGCCCTCCCTCTCAGCCCCGAGGCGGAGAAAGGGACTCCAGCTCATACCCATCCTTTTTGTAAAACTCCAGCATCATGTTGTCGGTGGCAACGCTGAGGGGCCGGCGGGCCTGCTCGGGCTGGCGCCGGTCGGCGGGGTCCATGTCTGGGGAGGGCATCGAGCTGTAGTTGGCGTTGTGGTTCACGTGGACCGGACTCCCGTAGTTCCCCGTGATGTTGAACTCTATCTCTGCGAGGAAGAAAGAACGGGCCTGTCGCGTGATCCACGGCAGGAGAGTGGGGAGCAGATGGCCTCTCCCTGCTTCACCCTTCGAAGATGCTGTTCCATGGGTCCACGTTAGGCCATCTATTGATATTGGTTCATCTTCATAGAACTCATCATAACAGTAATATGATAACTCACCTATTATATTTAACAAAGCAATTTCTATTTGTGATTAAAGACAAACTTAATGAAATGGGAACAGAGGCATACTTCCTGCAAAAGACAAGATCAGCTACGCAACCCTCGTGGTGGAGAAGGTCTTAATCAGATCAGCAAAGAGCCAGCTCCCTCACCACTGCCATCTAACACCCCTGGGGGGCGCTGGCCTATGGCATCAGCCGGGACAAGGAAAGAAGGGGCGGTATTATGGCTTGTCAATGAGAATGTCTTTCTGGAAAACTAAAGAGAGAACTGGAGAAGGGTTAGAATTGGAGATTTCACTTGGGCCACTCAGGCTGTTCACTGCGGGAGGACACAGGAGTGCTCACTCCTCCTTTCCTGGCCATCTTCCGTGTACCCACAGTAGTAACGCATGGCTCATCACAGACCCCGCCATGTTCATCATGCCATCAGCTCCTTTCTCCTGCACTGCAGTAGCCTCACCCTCGCCCAGCTTTTTATGTAACTAACAGAGCTCTTATGAGATGAACAGTTAGGAGTTCTCACGGTCAAAACACATGATACAAAACAGACACTCAAACTTCTGAAGTGCTAGATCAGCACTCACCGATCACCGCTGATAGAGCGCAGATATGTTAGCATAAAATGCCTTTAAACGGTACTAACCATAAGGTAGGACAGCCTTTTCTAAAGGGGACACAGCTTAGTGCAGCAACTGCTGTGTCTTCAGAGCCGTCAGCTGAGAGCCGCGGACGCGAGGGTCCCATGCTGAGTACGGTGAGGAAAGCCCGCCGCGGGCAGCTGCCTTCAGAGTCAGACTTCGAACCAGGTTCCCAAGAGAACCTGACCACCTCACTGAGGAGCGCTCGGAGGACAGCGCTGAGAACAAAGGGCGGCACCCAGGTGGTCCCCTCCCTCTGCTCTCAGCCTCCCGGTCCCCGGAAGCAGCGGGCCTCTTTCCTGTCTGCACCAGCACTGCAGGACCCACAGGCATAAGGAAACCATGGTGCGGACGCTGGACCAGTAAGACCCATGGTCATGGCTGGTCAGGCCGTGGACACCTTCAGGCCAGAGAGTAGGAACGTGGCGTGACTCCACCCTGTACCTGAGTGTGTGTGTGTGTGTGTGTGCATGTGTGTGTGCATGTGTGTAAGGGGATTAAAAACATAGCACAAACAGAACAAGCACACACCTCTGGGCAGTGACACTTATTTCAAAGGTTCAGAACTCGCAGCAACACTCTGCTCTTCCCCGGCCACCCCTCCCCCACGGGACGCCCCACGTACCCCCGGGGAAGAACCAGTCCGCATGCTGGATGATGGGTTCGATGATCCCGACAATCTGCAGCGACACCGTGGTCATCATCTCCGTGATGTTCCTGCAGGCACAGAGCAGAGGAGGGCGGTCACACCTGAGGCCCGGCCCACAGGTGAGGGGCCCTGGCCCAGGAGCCTGCAGACCTCGGTCAGAGAGCAGCTTTCTCTTGGGAAGAAGAAAGGGTTCCCCTGTCTGGACCCCTTTCCCCAGCGCAGGATACAGACACCCATGGAAGTCCTCCGTACAGGAGACGAGTGAGGACATGAGTAAGGAAATGAGCGAGTAAGCTGCACACATCAGCAGGTAGGAGGCCCCTTTCAACGTGAGGTGGGATCCCCATAACTGCCAGTCTCCTCTCCCAGCTCCGTGCTCTTCTCTGAGACCCCTCGGTCCCTCTGGGCTCTGACACTGGATGCGTGCTCTTCAGAGCCAAGAAAGCTGGGGAGAGCTTGCCTCACCTACTCCACCAGGCCCCTGCCCTCTCACCCCAACACCACCTTGGTTTAGCTCAGAGGGACTCTCCTGGCAGACCTGCAGCTCTGAGAGGACCAATGGGAAGATCTGCAGAATCCTGGGCCTCCTCCTGAGCCTACACAGGGGGAGGCCAGGAAGGAAATCTGCCTTGAGAAATAAGGAGTCTGGTGAGGGATTCAGGGAAGGCCCTGGCCCTGCAGCCCGAGGCCCACGAATGCCCACAGTCCCTGTACTCACCCTTCCGCTTGCGGCCACAGGAGGTTGGGTCCTAACACAATTGCTATGTTACTGGGAGTCATCTTGTTTACATCTTGATATTCTGACAGCTTCGATAAAAATTTGATCAAGTATCTGAAAGGAAATAGGAAGAGCCCATTGTAACTAAGAGTTCACCACCTGCACGTTCCCTCAGCACTGGGTCAAGACTTCTCTCACATAGCACAGCCTACTGACAAGGAGGCGCGTACATTCTGCAATACGATGCAGACATATCATGCACCAAGACATGGGGATGCTCCACAAATAGGCGGACTCAGACATCACTGTTATATGTCAACATCCTTCCTCTGGACTCAGTATAAAATGGCCTAAAGCTCCATCTTCATTTCAAATCTCTGTCACCTGCCATCCTCCCTGTGGGCAGGGGAGAAACAAAGTGTCCAGGGATCATCGGTGGGGCATTTATAGGCCTGCAGTGTATCCCTGAACCCTTTGGAGCCCCTCAGTGGGGCTTTCTGGAGAAAGCAATGAAGAAAAAGTTAAAGACTCAGCATACGACCCAGCAATTCCACTCCTAGGGATATGCCCGAGAGAAGCAGGCCCACCAGACTTGCAGCATTACTCAGCAGAGTCAGATGTGGGATATATGGATACATAAAATGTGGTCTCTCCATACAATGAAATATTGTCTATAATAATAAAAGCGTAATATGCTAATTAGGCCAGATGACCTTCTGGAAGAAGCCAGGACTGCGGGGGAAGCCCAGGTCCCGGGTGCCAGAGGGAAGCCCGTACCAGCAGCAAGTTGGCAGCCAGGGGAAGGCACACCTATTCTTGCACAAATTTCATGCATCGGGCCTCTAGTTCAGCTGTAAAAAGGAATGAAGCTCTGACACATGCCACCACATGAATGAACCTTGAAAACATCATGCTGAGAAAGGAAAGGTCACATGTTGCATGATTCCATTTACATGGTCTATCCAGCACAGGCAGATCCACAGACTGGGGGTAGGAGGGAGAGGGAAGAAGCAGCTTTGGGGCTGCCAGGGCTGGGCTGGGGACAGGAGGAGTGACTGCTAATGGGAATGGGGCTTCTTTTTGAGGTGATGAAAATGTTTAAAATTAGATGCGGTGATAGTTATACAAACCCCCCACAAAACTGTATGCTTTAAAAGGTATAATGATATGTAAATTATATCTCAATAAAGGTATAAAAAAAGCAGTAAGGAAGCTATTTATAAATGAAGCACAAAAAAATAGCTCTGGCAAATCATACCCGAAGTCTGCCAGGCTCTGCCAAGTACCCTGAGGGTCCATTTTCTCCGGGACTCTCAGGTACTCTCAGTTCCTGAGGCCCTTTGCTCCTGGCAGCCTGGCAGGAACCGCGGACTCCGCTGTCCCTGTCTCAGCCTCTCCTGACCACATCTCACTCCAAGAGGCCACACCCTGGACCAGAACACAGCCCAGCTGGGAGCAGCCAGCCCACAGCTGCTGGCGGCCGAGGCTGTGGTCAGCAATACTCAATGTGTTATACCAATCTGATTCTCCCTTTTGTTGTTTTGTTTTGTTTTGTTTTGTTTTATAATAGTGGTAAAATATATGAGTCACCATTTAACTATATTTAAGTATGTAATTCAGTGGCAGTAAGCACTTTCAAACTTTCAGGAACCTGTCACCACTCTCCAACTCCAGAACTTTCCAACATCCTAAACTAGAACTCTGCACCATTAAACACCCTCCCATTCTCCTCCCCTCCAGCTGCTGGAGTTCTCCAGCCTACTTTGGTCTAGGGTGTGACCATTCTAGGTGCCTCCTATGAGTGACTCATGCAGTATTTGTTCTTTTGTGTTTGGCTTTTTTCACTTAGCACCATGTCCTCAAGGTTCATCCACATTGTAGCATGTGTCAGAATTTCCTCCCCTTTTAAGGCTGAACATTGCATTGCATGTGCATTTTGTTGGCCCATTTATCCCCCGAGGGGCATGTAGCTAGTTTCCACCTCTTGGCTGTTGTGAATAATGGGGCTCTGAACCGGGGCGTTCAGAGCAAGTCTTTGCTTTCTAATCTATTGTCTACACAGCCAGATGTAGAATTCCTGTGTCAAGTGGTAATTCTAGGTTGAATTTTTTGAGGATCTGCCTTACCTCACTATTGGGATTTTTTTTTCCCCCCCAGGGAAACAGAAATAATCAGGCAGATGGCGGCAGGAGCTGAAGTTAAAAAGTTGTATCTAAACGGTGAGAAGAGGCATGGGGCCAGGAGCAGTGCTGGCAGGGCAAAGTGATGAGGAAGCAAAAGTGTGAAGGAGCAGAAGCCAAGAGGAAGAGATCTGCGTGGCAGCAGGAAGTAAGATCTCGGGTGGTCACAAGAAAAGTGAGATGGACGCGTTTAAAATAGCTGGTGAAGGTTGGAGTGCTGGAGTGTGTCCTCCCAGCCTCTCCTCTTCCTGCAGGCCAGCTCAGGACATACCTGCCCACTGCAGCTCCAGGTGTGCTCAGCTTCTCTCGGGTGTCCACGAACACCCATCTTTGGAATAAATCCCCAATACCTTGAAATAGCTTGCATTAATCTTTGCTCTGTGCAAATCAAAGAACTTAACTACATTAGCCAGTGGCTAATTAAGCAACCTCCTAAGTCTGTTTACTCATCTGAAAAATGAAAACGAACAACTTCACAGGGTGGGTGGAGGCTGGGCAGAGACCATGCATGCTGACGCTTTCAGTGCATGCTAGTGACCACAACCTCTGACCGGGAAACTGTGTCCGGGGCTTGAATAACTGACCCAGTGACTCCAGAGCCCACTCACCGGATGTTGCTGTGATTGGCCTTGGGCAATTTTTCACAAGCATTCCACAGAGCCTGAAGCCTCTTTTCTTGCTCCTGGATGCTAGGGAATGAATAGGAAAAGCCACTGGTTGAGCATGACTTACGGCAGTCTCCCTGGCAGCCACATCAACAGGTCACCTTAATATTTGAGAATAAGGAGCCAACCACGTGCCTGACAGTGTCAGCAAGCTATGACTACTCACATGTTTGGTTACTATTACCTCCTCTCTCTGTTCTCTTTCTGCCTCATTCTGTGCTGTCTTAACAAAACTCCCTCTGCCCACGTCCCATGTCCAGGGGAATGTGTGCCAGGCAGCAGTGGGGGCAGGAGGGCAGAGGCCAGACACCTGAGCTCTGCAGTAGGCAGGGCCTGGTGTTGTCAGGAAGGCGATTCTGGCACAGAAACCAGGGCACTTGGCACCCAGCAGCACCCACACACCCTCCCGGGGCCGGAAGAAGTCCTTACTTTTCCTGGTTCCAAGACACTGAGCTCTGAGGCTTAGGATCCTTCCTAGCTCCTGTTTCCTGTGAGACCCACCTCTACAAGTGAGGGGGGAGGGCTGTCTCTCAGACCCTGAAGCAAAGGTGTCCTCCCCTTCTCTGGCTTCGTATCACCAAGGTGACACAGATGGCAGTAAGAGGGTCAGCTTCCACCAAAGACACACTCTCCCTCTCCTCCACCCCGGGGCACGGGGAAATTCAGCCACATCCACACCGTGGTGGCAGCTTACTGTTCAGTTCATCGAATATTATTCAATGACATTCAGTGAGTCCCTTCTGAATAAGAGAATTTAATGACGCATGGAAATGAGGAATCTGATCTATCCAGACGTAACTCAGAGATGGGTAATTCGCATGCACAAGGGTTTCTCCACTATACGGAAAGATTTGCTTGAAGGGTTTCTTTATTATAAGCCCTCTGACATTGAATAGAAATGCTCTTAGGATTACACTTTTATGTACTTTTCATGCAAATCTACATCAAGGCCTGCATGGTTCGGAAGGCCTTGTGCTCAGAAAAACAAAGGGAACACCAGCTGGCGAGACCCCAGCTCTGAGCCCTTGACTAGCGCCTGGGTCCGGAGGGGTGGGAGGTGGGGGTCACCCACATGCGAAGTGCCCAGAGGCCCTCCTACAGATCCTGACCACGGTGCAGCCAGAGGGAGAGGGAAACACTCTCCAAATGGAATCTCTGCCGGGAACCTAACATGTAAGAAACGGAAAGGTACCAGCTCCTGTCCCTTTGACCAAAGGCTAGCAGAGCGGGTTTGCTGCTGGGCAGCCTAGCTCCTCCCTCCTGTGACTATGTGCCCAGGATTTAATCTGTGAACCTCCCGTCCCTTACGGTACATGGATTAGTAAGAGAACTTTCTCATCTCTTAGTTATGTGGCCTGTAGAGTTGTGTCCTTTGAGTTACAAGCCACTCTGCACTACCCTGACGATCCCTAAGTGTGAGGCGTTTAAAGGAGAATCGTACAGAGTTCTCATCTCTCGGTAAATGTCAGGCTCTGCAGCCACCGTGGCTGCTGCCTCCGCTTGCGCCTCCAGCAGCTGAGTGCCTCCTGGGGCCCCAAACCCCATTCTCGGTCCTGCTCCTCAGGCCTTTCTAAGGTGAAAGGCAGAGGCTGCGAAGACCTTTCATTCAATAAAAATCGGCAAACACACAGTGAGCACTTCCTGCACGTCAGGCTCGGTCCTGAGGGCGGGAGGCAGTGGTCAGCCAGGAGGTCCTTGCTCTCAAAGCTTACGAGGTCACTGGCTACACACACACACAGCCTGAGCCAGGCAGTCAGTTCCTGGGACAACGAGCTCAGACGGGACTTATGGTGACTGCTGGCTGCTTTACTTTGGGGTTGTCAGACAGGCCTTTCGGAGGTCACATTTAAGGGGAGGCCCTGGGGCAAAGGCTTCGGGACACCTGCGTCACAGGGAGCGGCCAGTGCGAAGGAGAGGCGTGTCTGTCCTGTGGAAGGAGCCCTATGACTGCAGCCTCAGTCCTGGCATCCTAGACTCCAGCGTGGAAGCACTTAACTTATGTAGCTTGCAAAGTCGTGTCCTCTGAGGTACAGGCCACGCTGCACTGTCCTGCGATCCCTAACCACTCTTTCCGCAGCTCCCTGGCTCCACCTCCACCTCCTGGCTGCCCCATCCCCACAGAGCAGGCGGCGTTCCTGTTAGTTAGGGTTAGTGTGGCTCATTCGTGAGACTCCGCTTCATCTGAGGTCAATGGTCATCAACCCAACAGCCTTGGGAGTTTTTAAACAAGGAGCCCAACCAATGAAATCAGAATCTCGGGGCGGGGGGGGGGGGGGGGGGGGGGGGTGCAGGCATCTGGATCTTTTTAAAGCTTCCCAGGAACCTAATGTACACAGAGGGCTGGAAATGTCAGTTCCAGACAAAATTGTTCTCTTTGGAGAGTGTGAGCATGTTACCATCTTTAAGGCAGGACAGCCCTTACTTTTCACTGGTTCCCAGGCACTGAGCTCTGAGGCTTCAGGATCCTTCCTATTTCCTGTGAGACCCACCTTCACAAATGAGGTGGGAGGAGTGTCCTCAGACCCTGAAGCTCAGGCATCCTCCCTTTCTCTAGCTTTGCATCACCAAGCCCCTTAGACATCAAGTAAAAGAGAATTCTCATCAGAGGACATGTTCTCACTCTCCTTCACCCCAGGACCACAGTGCTGCTCTAGATCCTCACCCAGGGCCACAGTGCTGTTCTAGATCCTCACCCAGGACCACAGTGCTGCTCTACATCCTCACCCAGGACCACAGTGCTGCTCTACATCCTCACCCAGGACCACAGTGTCGTTCTAGATCCTCACCCGGGACCACAGTGCTGCTCTAGATCCTCACCCAGGACCACAGTGCTGTTCTAGATCCTCACCTGGGACCACAGTGTTCTAGATCCTCACCCAGGGCCACAGTGCTGTTCTAGATCCTCACCCAGGACCACAGTGTCGTTCTAGATCCTCACCCAGGACCACAGTGCTGCTCTAGATCCTCACCCAGGACCACAGTGCTGCTCTAGATCCTCACCCAGGACCACAGTGCTGCTCTAGATCCTCACCCAGGACCACAGTGCTGCTCTAGATCCTCACCCAGGACCACAGTGCTGCTCTAGATCCTCACCTGCTGCTCTAGATCCTCACCCAGGACCACAGTGCTGTTCTAGATCCTCACCCAGGATCACAGTGCTGCTCTAGATCCTCACCCAGGACCACAGTGCTGCTCTAGATCCTCACCCAGGATCACAGTGCTGCTCTAGATCCTCACCCAGGACCACAGTGCTGCTCTAGATCCTCACCCAGGACCACAGTGCTGCTCTGGATCCTCACCCAGGACCACAGTGTCGTTCTAGATCCTCACCCGGGACCACAGTGCTGCTCTAGATCCTCACCCAGGACCACAGTGCTGCTCTGGATCCTCACCCAGGACCACAGTGATGCTCTAGTCTAGATCCTCACCCGGGACCACAGTGATGATTTATTATAGATCCTCACCCGGGACCACAGTGCCGCTTTAGATCCTCACCCAGGACCACAGTGCTGCTCTAGATCCTCACCCAGGACCACAGTGCTGTTCTAGAGAGGCCTCAATGGTCCTGGCTAACCACCTGGGTTCTGGAACCAGATCGTCATTCAGCCATTTATTAGACAGCAAGTAACCTGCCATCACATACTTTCTCCTTGACTCAACTTCCTCATCTGGAAATTGAGAGAAACAGTACAACCCACTTCATAATATGGAATTAGATGAATTAAAAACATATAATGAGCTTAGAACAAGGCGAAGTCTCTAAAAAATCACTCAGCAAATAGTATCCCCTATAATTATTACTACCATCACGGAACCCCACACCTCTCCACAATGAGAAACAAGAACAACATACGTTCAGGCAGCCTGTGAGAGTGCTTGACCTCCGTGACGTCACGGAAACAAACAGTGGAGCACCTTCGTCTACCTCAACACACATCAGCCAGGCTTCACTTCAGGTCCGCGGGATCTTCCTCCAGCCCGGTTCTTACGGAGCAGGTGCACAATCCTGTGCTCTTTCTGGCACAACGATGGCTGCTCCTTACAACTACCTCCCACGCTAGAGACCTCCAGAAATCACGTCTTTTCCCAGGCACCGTGCTGAGTCCTGCTCTCATAAAACATTCTCCCCCAATTTTTTTCCCCTGCACGTCTCTACTGCCTCCTCTGCTGGCAGTCCTCCTGGCTCCTCACCAGCCATGCCTTTTACTCACAAAAACCCAGTCCTCCAAATAACAGCATTTACTGCGGTAGCTCTTCCCATGGCCGATGCTAGCGCATGTGCCACATGAGGAGGGCAACTGGCTGTGGCTTCGCCTGCTCTTTGTATTTCTTCTCTTCACAACACGACTGGAGCCTCAGGTGCTGTCCTGTCCCCTCCCGCTGGGCCCTCCCTCGAGCTCATCTTCCGGAGGGTGGAATGTGTTCTTGCCCTGATGTTGTGTGTTTATAGTGGTTATTGTTTTAATCTATCAAAAAGACACTTTAAGGACCCTTGTGACCACTCCTTTGTCCTTCTCTCCAGAGGGAATACCTACCTCTGACTGGGTGAGTCTTCCAGAACCTTCTTTCATGCATTTACACATACAAAGACCCACTTCCTAGAACAGTGTTGTTTTGAGTGCTTTTCTTCTTTTTACAACAATGGAGTATCATAACCGCTCGTTAACTTGCTTGATTTCACTCAATAATAAATCTTCGTGCCTTTTCATAATAGCATGAATAGTTCTATGTTTTGACTACTGTAGAGTATGTCACCATGTAGATATACAACAGCTTATTCAGCCACTCCCCACACCCTACCAATGAGCATTTATTTAGTAACTTTTAGGCTTTTGCTATTTCAGCAAATGCTGCAATCCATGATCCTGCATATGCCTCTAAGGGCACCTGTACAAGCATGGCAGGTGTTTCTGCATGATAGATACTGAGAAAGGAGCTGCCGGACCAGAGGCTACATGCTTTCATAATTTCAACAAAAAGTTCCAACCCACAAGCCACTCCAAAATGTGGTGTACTCACTTGGAAGCCTGAATCCACTCATCATAGAGTTCAAAGGTCATAAGAGGTTCTGGCAATTCTCGGAGGTAAGATTTCAAAGCTCCTGGACATGAATACAATATTGGCCATGAGCCACTTTGAACGGCAGAGACAAGCATCACCAGTAGGCATCACCCACAGAGGTTACAACTAGAACGGCTCCCTGACCCAGACAGCATCCCACCGGTGGCTTCCTGCAGGAGTGGACCCATGGCCCTGGCAAGGCAATGGGGACTGGGCTGGCGAGGGCATTGGCCTCCTGGCCTCTAATTCCCACCACTCTCTCATCGTCTGCTGGCACACAGGGAAACCTTCCCTCAAGGGGTCATAGCAACCAGGCCCAACACTGGCCCTCCTGGACATATCTAGTGTGTCAGGAAGCCACGGGCTCCAGTGTCTGTGACACGTGGTCACACACCCTCCATGCTCTCTCTTCCCTCTACAGTAGGGTTGTCGAACTCAATCAGAGAAGGGGCCAAAATCTAAAATCCAGCCTAAAACGCGGGCCGAATGGTTTACTGAACAGTCATAAACTGTCATTGTGATGGAAACGCAGCAGAGTGCAGTGATGACAGCGCGGTGCGGGCCACATTGCAAGGCCTGGCGGGACGGATTTGGCCCACGGGCCTTGTGTTTGACACATGTGCTCTACAGCATGAAGGAGCACCTTGCCCAGGGGCTGTGGGCACCCACCTGCGATCGCGTGGGGGTCTGCTGAGTACTCCTGCACGTCCACCACACAGCAGTCCAGGGCGGCTTTCAGCTTCTTCAGCTTGGAGGCGGAGGGAGCCACTCGGAAGAGTCCCTGCCAAGAGACCACAGGTCAGTGGGCAGCCCTGAAACTCGGGCACAGAAGCAAAACCTACAGACAGCACATCTGCCCACTCCCCTGGGTGCGTTTCCCAGCACCACTGTCAACACCATGGCCGCTGTTTCCTAAATGTTCCTGCCAAGCAGGGCTGGGGCCTGGCCCACTGTCCTGTCTCCGGGGCCTACTATGGGTGATGCACCGTTCTGTCTCAGTATTTGTTGAAAAAAAGAAGCTTGGGCATCCAGATGTTGCTCACTGAGTATGATGTTGATGTTGGCTGTATGTTTGTTATATATGGTCTTCATCATGTTGAGGTGTGTGCCCTCTATTTCCTGAGATTTATTTTTTAATAAAAAATTGCTATTGGATTTTGTCAAATGCTTTTTCTGCATTTATTGATATTATCATGTGATTTTTGTCTCTCAATTTGTTTATGTGATGTATCACATTTATTGATTTGCAAATATTGTACCAGCCTTGCATCCCTGGGATAAATCCCACTTGGTCATGGTATACTAGTATGATCTTTCTAACAAATTGCTGGATCCAATTTGTTAATATCTTGTTGAACACTGTAACATCTAAGTTCATCAGGGATATTGACTTGTAATTCCCTTTCTTTGTAGTGTCTTTATTTGCTTTTGGAATTAGAATAATGCTGGCCTCATAAAAAGAGCTGGGAAATGTTCCTTTCTCTTTGAATAGTTGGGGAGTATAGATGTTAGTTCTTCTTTGAATGTTTGGTGAAACTCCCATATGAAGCCATCCAGACTTGGGCTTTTGTTTGCTGAGAGTTTTTGGATTACTGCTTCTATTTCATCGGTTGTTATTGGCCTATTCAGGTTTTCTGATTCCTTCTGATTTAGTTTTGGGAGATTGTATTTTTCTAGGGATTTGTCCATTTCATTCACATTGTCCAGTTTGTTATCATATAGCTGTTCATAGTACTTTCTTATAATCCTTTATATTTCTATGGTGTTGGGAGTTACTTCTCCACTTTCATTTCTGATTTTATTTATTTGAGTCCTCTCTTTCTTTCTTGATGAATCTGGCTAACAATTCATCAATCTTGTTTACCTTTTCAAAGAACTAGCTCTTGGTTTCATTAATTTTTTGTATTGTTTTTTAAGTCTTTATGTCATTTATTTCTGTTCTAATCTTTATTATTTCCTTTCTTCTATTTACTCTGGGCTTTTCTTGTTGTTCTCTTTCTAGTTCTTTAAGTTGTAGGGTTAATTTTTCTTGTTTTTGAGGTAAGCCTATGGTGCTATGAATTATAGGCCTTCCTTTTCAAGAGTGCTTTTGCTGTGTCCCAGTGATTTGGGGATGTTATGTGTTCATTTTAATTTGTTTTCAGCAAGGTTTTCATTTGTTTCTTGATTTCATTGGTAACCCATTCATCCTATATAGTAAAAGCCTAATATGCATATTGTTCCCTCAACTGAGAGTTTGACCAGGAGTTTGACAGCTCTCTATGATGTGCACTGACTACCAGGGGGTGGCATGGAACATGATAGGCGTTGGCGACATGGCACTGGCAGCAGGCAGCAGTGGAGGTGCTACTGGCTCCAATGGGCTCCAATGAGAGCAGTAATGCATTGGGATAGTGGAGCAGGTGAGCGGGTGGCACCAGGCCAGATGGAAGCCTGTAGACAGCGACCAGCAGTGGGGGTCGGGGACACTGCCCATCTCCCAGGCATTGAGGGAGCCTAATCACCCTGCCGATCACCCTGCAGATGGCAACCAGTGCAGTGGCAGGGGGGTGGGACCACCATCCAACTCCCAGGCACTAAGGGAGTTGGACAGGAGCCTGATTGCCCTGCAGATGGTGACCAATTGTGGCTGTGGGGGGCAAAGCTGCTGTCTGGGCAACATCTAAAAGCATTTCCCCTAGGCCAGTGTTGTACATTCATCCCCAACAACACAGCCCCAAACAGAATCATCCCTAAGGCCCTACAGGAACTAGTAGCTTTAGCTAATGAATTAGCTGAGAATTCTGGAATTGGGATTTTTTCTGATGGGCACTCCTGTTATGCAAATATGGAAACATTTCATGTTGTCCTGCAGCTCCCTTAAACTGTCCTCCTGTTTCTTAATTGTTTTTCTCTGTGGTTTTCTGATTGAGTGATTTTTCCAACACTGTCTTCTAATTCACTGATCTGACACTAATAATCTGCTGTGTATTCCTTCCAATGTGTTCTTTATTTGTGCTATATCATTCTTTATTTTGGTTTTCATAGTTACTATATATTTTCTCATGCTGTTGAGCATTTTTACCATAATTATTCTGAACTCTATATCAGATAAATTTCTGATCTCCATTCCATCTATCTCTTCTGGAGAATTCTCTTGTTCTCTCATCTAGGGGTTGTTTCTTTGTCTCTTCATTTTGGCTGCCTATTTGGATTTGTGAATATATATTAGGTAGATATTCTATGACTCCCAGTCACTAGTGCAGGAGAGTATCAGAGGCTGTTTTTTGTCTAATTAGATCATGCAAAGACTCAAAGCCTCCAGAGACCATCTCTGCTTGCAGACTGATTGGATTTGTCTTGAATTGCCCTGACGCAATCGTCTACAAGTGTGAAGAGAGTTTTTTCAAAAAGTGGAATGATTGTTTCTGCCTGGAGGCTAATTGTTATCAGTCTCTTAATAAACCTCAACAATTGCACAGGTTGGGGCAAGGTGTTTTCCAATAGGGTGGATCAGCTGTCTTTCCCCCAGGCAAAACTGCCTAATTAGCAATTGTCAATCTCTATGTGGTTTTCACTTTCCCTCCTCAGTTATTAGGGTTCTCTCCAGTGACTCTTTAGTTGATTACTCAGGAAGTTTTTCTGTATTTTAGTTGTAATTCCAATTTGGTTCTAGGAACATGTTCATGCAGCATCCACTTACTCTGCTGCTATTTTAAATTTCTCAAGGGCTATACTTTTAGATCCAAATAAAGCCTGTGTCCTCAGGGGATGGCAGATGGGATGGTGTTTGAGAGAGGGATGCTCCCTTCAGTCCCTCAGGTACTGTTCTCAGAGTTACTTAAAAAAAAAAAAACACACAAAACAAAACAAAACACATTTTTATTGATTTCAGAGAGGAAGGGAGAGGGAGATATAGAAACATCAACAATGAGAGAGAATCATTGATCAGTTCCCTCCTGGATGCACCACACTGAGGATTGAGGCCACAACCCAGGCATAAGCCCTGACTGGGAATTGAACCATGACCTCCTGGTTCATAGGTCTACACTCAATCACTGAGCCATGCTAGGGTAGAATCAGAGTTATTTTTGAGTTGCTATCATCCTTTTCAAGTAAAACCCCTACCTCCTGCAGAGTTAACGTGAACTAGGAAGAGAAAAGAGAAGAGGCCAGGGGTATGTGGAGAGGAGACAGATGCAGGTGAGACTTGGAAAGGAACCCCGGGTCTCAGACAGGAAGTTGGACATGAGTTGAAGACCTTGTGGTTTCTCTTTCATCTTCTCAGTTCCTTGCATTCTGTGAAGCAACACTCTTGGTGGAGGCTCTCCTGGCTACTTTACATGGAGGGTCCCCAATTCCCCAATTCCTTTAGGAGAAAATGTTCCTGGTCTGAGCTGGAGTCTGCTTAGGTCAGTCACTCCCTTCTTACAACAGGTGGACAATGCCCGGAGATCTCTGGCATACATGTGAGGAAGCTCCCAAATGTGTCTGGTTAGATAGAAAGTACAGCTGCCAGGATGCAGACAGTAGCCACAGCTCCCAGGAGAGGTTAGGACATGCTGCACACACACAGCCACACAGGGAGAGATCGCACCCAGTGATGGACAGCCAGGAGAAGGAAGTGGATCACCAAGCACGGCTTCAGGTTTTTGACTATGTAACTGAGAAGACTGTTCCACTGAGAGACACATACACACGGGAGGAGAATGTGACTATTCACACAGTGAGTCCAAGAAAGGAGTGAGTGGCGGTGTGGATGCAGACTCAGAAATGCTAAGTTCTCTTAAGAAACTGGATACACAGAAAACAAACCCAAAGAGCCAAGGGAAGGAGCACGAGGCTGAGGCTGGGCAGAAACAGGGCTTTACTCTGTTGAGGAAACTGGAGTGCAGTTGTTACTAACAGACCCACTGATACAAAGCAGGGAAAGATTAAAGTGAGGCAGTGAAGGTCCGAGTCAGGAGAAGATACAGGAGCGGCCAGCTCACCTGACTTCTGTTCTTCAAAATCTAGCTTATACTTGTTAGAAATTTAAAGATACTAATCATTTATTTTACCTTTTGTATGTAACAATATTATAGTTATATTTAAAAATATCCCCAATCTCCTGGAGAAACCTACTGAAGTATTATAGACGAGATGATGTAATGTTTGGGAGTGGCTTCAAGCCCAAAGCAGGGTGGGGGCAGGACGTGGAGGTGGTGATGGAACAGGACTGACCCGAGCCAGGAGATGAGCTGCTTATCTTAACATTCACTTTTTCCACAATAAAAAAAAAGGATGGGAAGGAAAAGGTCCTCTATGAAACTGTGCCCCAGGGACTTACAGATCTTTCCATCTTGGATTGATAACATGAGAAAATGCCTGGCACTGACAACTTGGTCAAAAGATACTTATTCTCATTCCTTTCCAATGGCCAGCATCCAGAACAGCCTGACATAGAGGGAGCAGCCAGCATACCAAGTCAAGTCTCCTTTCATCACCATTCATCCCCCTTTTACCTCCTCCCCTCTGACAGCTGTCAGTCTGTTCTCTGTATCTGAGTCTGTGTTTCCCCCCCCCCCCAAAAAAAAAATACATTTTGTTGATTTCAGAGAGAGGATGGGAGAGGGAGAAATAGAACCATCACTGATGAGAGAGAATTATTCATCAGCTGACTCCTGCACACCCCCTACTGGGGACTGAGCCTGCAACCCGAGCATGTGCCCTGGCTGGGAATTAAACCTGGTTCATGGGTCAGGGCTCAACCAACTGAGCCCAGTGGACAGCCTCTATGAGTCTGCTTTAGTTTTGTTTGCTAGTTTTTTTGTTCATTAGGTTCCACTTGAGTGAAATCAGCTGATACTTGTCTTTCAGTGAGTGACTTATTTCAATCAGCACAGTCCTCTCCAGGTCCATCCTTAAAAGGCAAGATTTCTTTCTTTTTTTTTTTTTTAACTGCCAGTAGCATTCCATTATGTAAATGTACCACAGCTTTGTTACCCACTCTCTTACTGATGGATACCTGGGCTGCTTCCAAACCTTGGTTATTGCAAATAACACTGCAATGAACAGAGGGATAGATATATTCTAAAAGGTCTATTTTTCAAATTGGAACTTAGGAAGAAGACAAAGGAGGAGCAGGTGGAGGGTGAACAGTATGGAAGGAGGAGGAAAAGAAGACAAAGCAACAGCAGCCGCCAAAACTCATATTAAACATGAAGGAACCCTAGCTGGTTTTTACCAGTGATTAGAGCATTGGCCCTTGGACTGCAGGGTCCTGGGTTCGATTCTGGTCAAGGGCACGTACCTCAGTAGCCAGCTCAACCCCAGCCCTGGTCAGGGCACATGCGGGAGTCAAACAATCGATTGCCTCTCACATCAATGTTTTGCTGTCTCTCCCTTCCTTCCACTCTCTCAATGGAAAAATATTCTTGGATGAGGATTAATAACAACAACACAACAATAATAGACATGGAGAAGGAATGGCTGAAGTGTAGGAATGGCTGGAGAGAAGATGCTGCCAGGGCTGGGGGTGGCTGTGCGGACCTACCTCCTCCTGCATCCCGCACTCCAGCAGCATCGTGACGCAGGCCTCGATGGGGAAGGCGATCTCCCGGCCACTGATGGTGAGGTGCTCCTCCAGGGGCTTCCCGAAGGACGGCTTCTCCACCCAGGCCTCTGTGGGGGAGGGGGGGGTGGTGAGTGCAAAAAGGAGGCCGTGAGGGGTGAGTGAGGTCATCCTCCTGACCATGTATTCCCTCTTACACAGATTATCCTAAGACCACGAAAGAGAGGGAGGCCCAGTGGAGCCTGTCCCTGTGGTTTGGGGTGACTGAGAAGACTGGGCAGGGTAGATGCTAACTAGCTGTGTGTAGGGCTGAGGGAGCCCCCGTAGCAGGTCACACACATTGCCACTCACACCCACGCCCTGTCATCCCCAGCGGACAGTGGGTCTGTGCGCGCTCTGCTTCACCGCAATTGGACCAGCCACTGGCCTGTGAAGTCCTGCCAGCCCATCGACGTGACCCGTGGGGAGAGCGGAGGGTGAATGGGATGCAGGCCTGGGTGGCTCTGGGTCACAGAGCCCACGGAGGCTCTGGGTCACTGCCTCTGGGTCAAGGCCAGCAGCCCCACCCTCCCTCCAAAGCACACAGGTCACACTCACCCTGCTGTGCTTTTATCTGTGGCAGCACGGCCTGCAAGAGTGCCAGCGACTTCCTGTGGTACTCGGCTTGCACTTCTATGAGCTGAGGAGACACAAGAGCAAGAATCACCCTTCGCCAAAGGCCAGGAGCACAGGCCGCTGTGTGCGGGGGGCTCTCTGCCTGAAGGCCCTGGTTACTCCCAGGGAAGGAGGTGGAACCCCTGTTCCTTCCTCAGTCACCTAACCCCATGGGCAGGCTTCCCTTGTCTCTGCAGCAGCAGCCTCAGTGGGAATATGGGAGGTGGGAGAACCATCGGGGTGAGGGGCACCCCAGAGCTGGATCCCGACCTACAGAGCTTGCCTTTCCTGCCATCTTACCGTACTGAGCACCCCTCAAAGCAAAAGGCAACACAGAGCCTATATAATGATCCTATATAATAAAGAGGTAATATGCAAATTGGCCATCACTCCAACACACAAGATGCCCCCCCTCCATGTGGTCAAAGATGGCCATCCCCATGTGGACACATGATGGCTGGCAGAGGAGGGCAGTTGGGTTGACCAGGCCAGCAGGGAAGGGCAGTTAGGGGGTGACCAGGCCGGCAAAAGATGGCAGTTAGGGGCAATCAGGCCGGCAGGGGAGCAGTTAGGCATCAACCAGGCTGGCAGGGGAGTGGTCAGGGAGTGATCAGGATAGCAGGCAGAAGCAGTTAAGGGCAATCAGGCAGGCAGGCAGGTGAGTGGCTGGGAGCAAGCAGACCTGGATTGTGAGAGGTATAACTGACTACCAGTGGGATTGGGCCCAAATGGGCAACCGGACATCCCTTGAGGGGTCCCAGATTAGAGAGGGTGTAGGCTGGGCTGAGAGCTAACCCCATCCCCGAGAATGCACGCGCGTGCGCGCGCGCGCACACATACACACACACACACATACACACACACATCTTGTTTTCTGCAAAGATATAACTGATCAGAAAACGTGTGTCTTGATCCACAATCCTCTGCAAGTCCCCAGGGAGGTAAGGTTGCTTTGGTTATGGTGACACGGCTCCCAGAACAGCCCGCCAAGCTATGTTGGCCGTCCCACTCTCAACCAAGCTGCTGGAGTGTGGCTAAGAGCCGAGGAAAACCTGTGAGCAACAGTTACTTCATGTAGTTTCTGAATCCCTCCTCCCCCCTCAAAAACTGGGCATCTCTGAGGGCAGGAGAATGATTCACTATTGAAATGCTCCATGTGGAGGGTGGATGCTATTGCTTCCAACTAAAAGTAAACTGAATTTCTAAAAAAAACCCAGGAAATTGATATAAAGGGTATACAAATGACAATGAGGCAGCCTAATAATGCTTGCAAGGTCACCAACATCATTAGTTTTGAACAATTCTAAAGTTGAATATTATCTTCACCAACAAAAGCAATGGCGTATACTTGAAAACATATTACTCCTTCAAAATAACTCTCTAGGTTGGGGGAATGCACCTCTGCTTTTTCAGGTAGAAGGCCTGCCCCTAAATTTCTGTCCCCTGATGGAAGTGCTAGGAGATGGCTGAAAGCCCACAGCCATTCACACACTAGCAAAGCTCCCCCAGCCTCTCAGGATGCCCCACCCCAATTCCTTTTCCTTATCTTCCTTATCATCCTATCCCTTCCCTACTTCTAGTTCTCAGCTCAGATCCCGTTTCTCTCTCTTTAAATTTGCTTTCTTCAATGAGAAGAAGGCAAACAGGTCACACCAATCATCATTTACCTACCTGTCATCATCCTGGCAAAAATCCAGGTTAAAACCAATCTGTGCTGGGGGGCAGGGCTTCCTTCTTCCCAGGTCCTTGTTTTTGATACACCGGGGGCTCCACCTCCTTCCCCACAGGCGTGGCCCTACTTCTGTCTGGAAAATTCTCTGTGTGCAGGCTGTTCTGTGTGTTGCAGGATGCTTAGCAGCATACCCGACCTCTCCCCACTAGATGCCCACAGCACCTCCCCCAAAGGTGGCAGCTAAAAATCTCCCTGGAGGAGGCAGCAAACCAACCCTGCCTGGGAACCACTGCCATGGGACTCTGCGTGGCAATGACGTTCATGAATGAGGTTGTTTTAGGGTTTGGGGGATCCATACAAGGAGAAAGAGAAGGCAGGGTTTTCTCACAAGTAGAACAGTCAAATCCCACTCTCTCCCATCACATGCTCAGCCACAGGGCCTCCGTCCCACGACACACTCCTTCCTGTCCTCACCAGGACTCTTGCAAACAGACTGTAAGCTGCCTCACTGTTATGGACTCTTACCGTTTGGAAGTAGTTTGCATAGTCAATTTCTTTGGCCACAAAACTGTACATGTCAGCTGACAGCTGGTCCTGTGGAGGCAAAATGCACAGCCAAGGTAAAATGAGAGTGGCTAACGCATGGGTCCAGACCTTCACATCATTCAATCTCATTTTATTATTTTTAATCTTAAAGAATCTTTATTTTTGAAAGCATTACATATGTCTCTTATTCTCCCATTGACTTCTTCTAGCCCACCCCCCGCCCCAGGCCCTCACCACCCCATTGTCTGTGTCCATGGTTATGCATCTATGCATACAAGTTCTTTGGTTGATCTCTTCCCACTCCCTCTCATCCCTACCTTCCCTCTGAGGTTCAATCTCATTCTATATAATAAAAGGGTAATATGCAAATTGACTACAACAGTGGAACAACCAGGAATGACTGGTTGCTATGACATGCACAGACCACCATGGAGGCAGATGCTCACTGCAGGAGCTGCCCCCTGGTGGTCAGTGTGCTCCACAGGGGGAGCACTGCTCACAAGCCAGACTGATGGCTGCGAGCACAGTGGCAATGGCAGGAGCCTCTCCTGCTTCCTCAACAGTGCTAAGGATGTCTGACTGCTCCTAGGCCCTCTCCCCACAGGAAGTGGTCCTAAGCCAGCAGGTGGACATCCTCTGAGGGCTCCCAGACTGCAACAGGTGCAGGGTGGGCCGAGGGACCCCTCCTAGTGCACACATTTTTGTGCACTAGGTCTCTAGTTTTCTTTCTTTTTTTAAATTTTTTTTTTCTAGTTTTCAATACAACCTGACATGTCACAAACTGCCCTGGACATTTCCATGCTTCCCAACCTCGGTCCAGAGAATGGCAAATGTGAATAGAAAACCTGTGCCAGGGGTTCCCAGGGGATTTCAACATGGGGTCCTCGTTGGGCCTGAGGAGAGCTGGTGTGGGGTGATGTGCAAGTTACGCCCAGTCCTCGGCAGCTTACACCACCACTGGGAAGCAGCCGCTGAGTGCAGACTGTGCTTGTCTTCTCTTCCTTCTCTCACTTTGCCTCTGATTATTTTACTGCTTTGCTGTCCTTCATTTTCAAAACTGATTGGCTGATAAGCAGCATATGAGAAAGAGACAGCAGCACACCAATTGGGAGGAAGTTGGATGAGACAGATGGGCAGGGAAAGGATCGCTGATTCAGAACATATCAGAACCTGGACTCAGCCAATTGCACACAAGTCCAGTGCTAACTGTCCTGTGCGATCCAGGGCTCCATGTGATGGGGCAGTGACCCAACGCTGTGTGTGACCTGCAATGTGTCCTCCTTAGAGAACCGTTTTCAGTTCCGCAGAAACATCACAGAAGGGACAAGCAAGCACACCCAAGCAGGACAGACACTCGCTGCTAACCAGGTCTCTGAGCACCGCTGCACAAGTCACATGATCTCTCAAGCTCCTCCCTGTTGTATTGCCTCTGGTAGGAGATCTTGAGAAGAAATGCTAAGTGGAGGAGAGAAGAGTCTAGAACGTTCGCTTGGAGGTGAACGTGAGATCAGCACAAGAAGCTGACGCAGATACTGAGTGAGTTATAGTGTGCAGCTCTGCACTGCAGGGGGAGCCTGTTGCATGGAACCTTGTATTCTATCCCAACCGCCTTCCCATGCCCCCCACCTGCCAGTTAAGCCCATTCCTAGTGAGACTGCTAGGATGTGCGAAGCCATCTGTGTTCTTTTCCAGGCAAGCATCGTGGGCACGTCCTCAGGGGGCTCTTGTCCACGAGACACAGGACCAAGGCACCGAGCTAAAGGGGAAGTGTGTTCTCTGGGCTTGGAGCTCAGGAGGCCAAGCTGTCCTGGACCAATTTCAGACGATGAAGAAAGGGAACCAATGAGTTAACATGCACTGGGAACCGTCTAGGCCAGTGGTAGGCAAACTCATTAGTCAACAGAGCCATATATCAACAGTATAAGGATTGAAATTTCTTTTGAGAGCCACATTTGTTTTACACTTAAACTCCTAAAGTCACTTCTTCAAAATAGACCCACCCAGGCCATGGTATTTTGTGGAAGAGCCACATTCAAGGGGCCAAAAAAGCCGCACGTAGCTCGTAAGCCACAGTTTGCCGACCACGGGTCTTGGCGCCAGGTGCAACATCACATGGGATTCTCCGTGCCACATGGGACTCTCCATGCTACATGGAATGCTCATCTCTTTAGGTACGTGTGGAATTTCCAGTTTCAGAAGAACAGCTACCAAGAGTTCAAGGATCTTATCTGTCTGTCCTCCTCAGTCTCAAAGGTGCTCTGACAATAGGGGCTTAAATAATATTACTGTGAGAACAAATGGAGAAACAGAGGCCTAGCAAGGACAGTTTTCCCACAGAAACAGCATGGGCCATAAGACCCATCCTGACTCCCTTTCGCCAGTGCATCCCTACAGCGAATGTCTTTGTAGGGCTGCCCCATCTGCCCTACAAGGGTCAGGAGAAAGCGGTTTTGTGTGGAACCAGCCTCCCCACGCCAACAGGTTCAGCAGACACCCATCCCGGAGTGACTTGTTTGCCAAGTGAGGACAAACAAAGGCTGGGTGATGAACGGCTCTGCAGACAGAGGAAGAGACCCCAAGAGGGACCAAGGCCAGGGCACCTGCACCTTCACCAACAGTTTAGAGAAGTCAGACCACCGAGGGCGCCCTCAGAGACATACCAGAGTTTCGAAGGCAGTCAGACGACGGCCTTATTAAGCAACGTGGCCTCCAAATGAGTCATACTTGCAGAAAAAGGGTGACATTACAGATACTATTTCAATGTCCCTGAATCATCAGTGAATTTTCTATAAAGAAAACAATCTTCCATCAATAATCACTGGAGTTAAATGTATTTAAAAATATTGTTTGCTGATGTTTCATTAATCAACACTTGGAAAAATACCAAGTAAATAACCCCACCCACCCGGAACCCCAACAAACAGCAGAGATAATGGCAGTAAGCTGTGATGCGCTTAGTCGGCATCTATGTCAAGTGGCACATGTTTGTATTATTGCTGGGCTTACAAAAAGGGAGCCAAGATGCTTTATAGCGCATTCACTACCAGATAAGCATGTTTTATAACAGACGCGATACTTAATAAATGGATGGACTAGGTTTCTATTGTTGGATAGTGCATTTTTAGTTTTTCACATTATAATGATATTTGAATAAGTATTTGTTTATACAGATTTGCATCCATCTCTTGGTTATTTCCTTCGAATAAATTCTGCAGTTAAAATTAATTTTGATTACATAATCCCTTATAATTAAATTTACAGATATTAGAAAGATGACAACCAATTGGGACATTAGGGGTTTTGATATATACTGTCAACCATCAGGAAAAAACATTTTTACTATAAGAATTAACCCATAAATATTTGTTTGTTTTTTATAGTAATTGCTTTTTTTCTTTTTCTTTTTTTTGACTGGGGGAAGTGGCTCTATTAGAGAAAACCAGATTACAAAGAACTTTAAGAGTTGGCATTGGGCCCTTCTCCTTGGCAAAGGTGGGCACAACATTGACAAAACGCCAGATTACTGCATCCGTCACCTGGCCTGAGCAGTCTTCTTCTTTTTCTCCTGTTTGGCCACCTTGGGGGTCTGACCGCTTCCTTTCCCAGCACGGGCCACAGAACCATGGACTTCACCCAGCACTCGGGCAGCTACTTCCTGTGTGGTCTCCACCCCACACTGGCCCAGGGAGCCTCACTGGGGCGTGCCTGCCCCTCAGTGTGATCTTTTGGAGCGATGCCCTCCAGTGAGGTGACATGAGCCTTGACTGGGAGACAGCCTCCCAGCCTGCTGGTCTCCTCGAGGGTGTGTAGCTCCTGGGCGCGTACAAAAAGCTGCATGTGGGCGACTGAACTGCAGCCTGTGCCATGACCAACTGCGAAGACGGAGTCCAGAAAGAGGAAGGAAGGGAAAGGTACGCGTCCTAAGCATTTGCTGCATCAGCGTCACTGCTCTGACAGTAACTGCTTAATTCTGTTTAAACACAATCAAATTTGTAGGTAAAATTTAAATAATATGTTCCTAACCTATAGTTTGCTGTTTTAAGAGGTCAACTTTCTTGTAACTGTATTTACCTATTTGTATCAATTCCTTGTTGACATTAAGTGCCCATTTTTCTGTAGGAGACTATTTATAAGATTTGTGAGAATTCTTTAGATGGATGAGACCAAAGGGCTTAATCAAATACTGCTAATATTTTCCCATTTTCCATTTATCTTTTGACACTATTTGCAACTATTTTTGGTCTTGTACTTCTTTAAATGGCTCTTCCATGTGGTAGTGTCTATTACATTTTTCTCTTTATGATGTCTTCCTTTGCTAATCTGCTTAAAGCACCTCAACCAACAGTATAAATATCCATATATATGTTCAATGGAGGATATAACACTTAAGTCTTTAATACATTGAAACTTACTTTGGTACTTGTACCAGAAACAGAATTAAATATATATATATATATATATATATATATATATATATATATATATATATATATATATATATTATTGATTTTTTTAGAGAGGAAGGGAGAGGGATAGAGAGTTGGAAACATCAATGAAAGAGAAACATCGATCAGCTGCCTCCTGCATACCCCACACTGGGGATGTGCCCACAACCAAGGTACATGCCTTTGACCAGAATTGAACCTTTGACCTTTCAATCCACAGGTCGATGCTCTATCCACTGAGCCAAACTGGTTAGGTCCAGATAAAGAATTTTTAAAGAGCTAACCAAAGGTCTTAACACTTCAAGAACAGAGCAGATTCTCCCCATGGATTTGAAATGTCACAGACAAAACTTCTCATTCACTTGGATTTCCTTCTGACTGGGATGTCTCCCCTGCCACCCACACCCCTGCCACTTCCTTGTTCTATTTAAAAAAAAAATAGTATCTACATTTTAATTATGTAACTTCACAATACATTGTAAGAGACAGAAAGTCAAAGCTCCAATAACTCTCCCACATTATTACCCTTTGAAGCATTTATTACAATTATATCAACTTATATAGTTGCGGGGGAATTAAAATTTTAATAACATTGACTTTTCTCATCTAGGAACATCTCTTAATTTTATAGTCTTTGATTTGCTCAGTCCTATTTTATAATTATCCTACATTCATGATATTATTGTAGGATTTTTAAGATTCCTGTTGTTAACACAATCCCTAAGGTATTTATATACTTCTCTCTTAAATACTTGTTCTTGGCAGACAGTATCATCTTGATCTTTATAACTGGCTTCCAGTTTCCAGTCTGGCTCACAAGATCAGAAGTCACCACTAGCAATGCGTAACACGCTGAACAAACTGAAAAATCAACAGCTTTTCTGCTTCATCCGAGAAGTAAAGTCACAGGCAAGCCACTCCCCCAGAGTGAAGACTAACAGGCGAGTAAGAGAGTCGCACACCTGAGCAGAAACCCCATGGACAGCGTGCTGGGCGAGGACAACCAGAACCGTCTGACCATCGCTGGGCCCCGTGTGCACGTGTCTGATGGTCAAACTCTGGGGATACCCAGTCCATGCGATAAGACACAACACAGAGTTCTCACAGCGAACGCCCAAGTATGTTGTCTATATAAAACTCAGGTTAAATATAAAGATACATATGACCAGCGATATATTAAGTATCAATATGTAAGTTAAAAGTAAAGGGATAGGGAAAGATACACCACGCTAACACTAATCAAAAGAAGCGGGGTTAGCTATATTCATTTCCCACAGAGCAGAATTCAGAGCAAAGGAAAGTATCAGGATAGAGAGCAATTACACATAATGATAAAGGGCTGATTCTACAAGAAAACATAGCAATCCTTAATGTGATGTACCTAACAACAGAGCATCAAACTATGTAACGCAAAAATGATACAACTGCAAGAAGAAATATGAGTTCATTCTTATAGTTGGACGCTTTAACACCCTTCTGTAAGAAACAGACACACCCAGGAGGCATAAAATCAGTATGGACATGCTTGACCTTAACAGCATAATCTATCAGGCAGATATAATCAATCAAGCAGATATAATTGATATCTATAGAGTACTCCATCCAACAGCAGCAGCATACACATTCTTTTCAAGCTCGCAGGGAACATTCACCAAGACAGATCACATTCTGGGCTACAGAATACACCTTACCACATTTTAAAAAAGCAGAAACCATATCATTCCTCCTCTCTGACCACAGTGAAATGAAATTAGAAGTCCATTCGGCAAGCTAGCAGGAACAATCCCAAAGTGATACTGTGATTTTAACTGAGAATAAAATAACTGTGAGATACCACTGGTCAAGCATTTAATGAACTCCCCGCTACTGCCTTGGCAGGGCCAGTCCAAGTAATCTGACAGGCCCTTGGGTTGGAAGCGTCCAACCCAAGGGCCTGTCAGATCACTTGGTCTGTGCAGCCTAGAAACTACGAACCAGGATGCACAGCTCACAAAAGCTTCAAGCAGACACCACGGTCATTTCCTCTTTGCCTCCCAGGCAGGAACACTGATGGCCACCCCTGCTGCCCACCTGTCTATGCCACCCTCAGAGCCCCGGCTCCAGGACTCAGGCCCGGCTCTTTGCAGACTCCAGCCGGTGGGCAAGCTGGGGTCAGGTACTTGGTGCCGAGGTTCACCCTTAGGGTTTTAATAGAACTCCCGTGAACAGAAAGGACTCCCTTAGGGCTCCCCCATCTGTCTCGGTAGAGAGGAACAAAGAAGGGGTACCCTGCAAATCTCCACTCTGTTGGCAGCCTCCTCCATCTCTTCCCTGAGGGCATCAGCTTTGGCACCCGCAGGCTGCAAGCTGCTGGACAACCCTGAAGACTTGGAAGTCTGCTGCCACCTGATGGAAAACAGGAGAGAAAGAGGAGAGGTGTGAGACACGTAGGGGGCACAGGGAAGGATGGGAAAACAGCTGGCTGCAAACCCTACTCAGGAAACAATGCCAGGCGGAGGGTCAGCTGCCCCCTGGACAGGGCAAACATTTCCAGGGAGCCGCCTTCGTCCCTGCTGCCTCTGACACTCAGGCCCAGTGCCTTCACCATCGTGTCCTCTGAAGCACATCCCCAGCCTGTCCGGTGGGCCTTCCAGTTTGGAAACACCCACTTACCTAATCACGTAGGCCAGGTGGGAGGGTACGTGTGTGAAGAGTAAAAGCAAGCCTGAAGGCAAACATCTCCCCTGGTGACACCCGGGGCCCTTATGACTTAGATTAAATCAAGTTTTAGATCCCAGCTCTACAAATCATCCCCCCCCCCCTTCCTCCCCACTCCTCCTGAGGTCCATCAAATCAGGGCACCCCTGGCCTCTGGTGTCTTGTGCTTTTGCCCTATTTCATCTGGAACCCGCACAGCACTGGGAGCCAGGCTTTTGTGCTGGCTTCCCGCTCTCCCAGGTGGGCCATTCAAAGCAAAGCAGCCCGTCCTTCTACGCTGCAGTTTGGGGTTTGGAGTGAGGCTCTGCCAGCCGGGCGCCCCCCCCGTTCTGCACCACTGGTGGCACACACGTTCCTGGCAACTAGCAGGCGCATCACTTACACTTTCCTAAGCTCTTATCTCTGTGCAGAGGATACTGGCTGTCTGAGGAAACTCCTGGGGGAAGCACAGATGCTTCTGGTTGCTAGGTCACTGTCGAGGAATTAGCAAAAGCAGGCCTCGGAGTCTATACACTCAGAGGCTCAGAGAGTAAGAAAAATAAGTCAAGTGAGCCATTGTCTTGAACTTTCTACGTGTAACAGGGACATGAGATGCATAACTACTCCACAATTCTAAGAGAAACAAGGGTGTGATCAAGAGGAGAAGGACCCGGTCTCAGGAAGCCGGGGGGACCACAGTGGAGAGGAGACCCAGGTAGGGGCTAAATGGTGTGGCACTGTTCTGAGCAGTGGTCACCAACCTTTCAGACCTAATGGCCCACCAGAGGTATGTGGTCCACTGGTTGGCTCCACGGGATGAGGAAGCCCAAGCAGAAAGATGTTTGCATTGATTAGAGAAGCTGGAAGCTGTCAGGTAAAGGCCCGGATGCAATGTGGCAACCGATGACGCAGCTTCCTTTCCACCCTGTTCTGGCCAACAGTGTCCAGACGAAGCCACAGAGCTCACCGACTCATGCACAGAAGAGAGGCGTCACCCTTACTCAGAGCCCAGTCTGATCACTAGGCCTTTTCTCTACACGATTTCCCGCTCTCTTTTGTTACATGCAGGACAAAGAGAAGAGGGCAAGACCACCACACAGGAAAGGGAAACAACGTTATCTCTGCTATTAGCAAAACGTAGCAAAATAAAGGCTGATTTGTCACTTAGAAAACACACTCAGCGGAAAATTACTCTCAAAGGCTTTGGGTCATCAAGCTGGTTAGAAACGCTAAGGACACACTTGTCCTGAGAAAGCTTCTGCATGCAAGGGAAGAATTCGGGGCACATTAGAAAAGAAACACTTGCCGAAACCGGTTTGGCTCAGTGGATAGAGCGTAGGCCTGCAGACTGAAAGGTCCCGGGTTCGATTCCGGTCAAGGGCATGTACCTTGGTTGCGGGCACATCCCCAGTAGGGGGTGTGCAAGAGGCAGCTGATCAATGATTCTCTCTCATCAATGTTTCTAACTCTCTATGCCTCTATCTTCCTCTCTGTAAAAAAAATCAATAAAATATATTTTTTTAAAAAGAAACACTCTCCTCAAAGATGTTTACAAATCTAAGGTAACAGATGAGGACTAGTAAAGATTCCTGGCAATTCTTTCTTAACAGTTTGCCTGACAAACATGTTATATTTTATTATTGACTTTTAGAGGGAGAAGAAGAGGGAGAGAGAAACAACTGATTGGCTGCCTCCTACATGCCCCCTACTGGGGATGGAAGCCACAAGTCAGGCATATGCCCTGACCAGGAATCGAACCAATGATCATGCGGTACATGGGTTGATGCTCAACCACTGAGTCACACTAGCTGGGCAAATCATTTTATTTATTTATTTATTTATTTATTTATTTATTTATTTATTTATTGTGAATCCTCACCCAAGGATATTTCCCATTGAATTTAGGAAGAAAGAGGGACAGAGAAAGAAACACTGATGTGAGAGAAACACGTCGACTGGTTGCCTCTTGCACGAGCCCTGATCAGGGCCTGGGCTGGGGAAAAGTCTGCAACCAAGGTACGTGCCCTTGACCAGAATCGAACCTGGGACCCTTTGGTCTGCAGGCTGGCACTCTAGCCACTGAGCAAAACTGACTTGGGCTGGACACATAATTTTTAAAAAAGCATTGAAGTGTTATGGTGGTTTTTATTTATTTTTTTTGTCAAATTAAATATGAGTGGCCATGACTATGACTTAAACCTGAGGTAAATGTGCTCCATTACAGAGGTGTGAGCAGGCCCCACCTGCCGCCTGACGCATGCTCCCTGAAGGGACAGTAAAGTGGCCACAAACACTAAACTGGTTTTTATGGTTTTACAGATTTGGATTCGATTGTTTTAAAAACCCAAATTATATTTAATTCACATATGTTAAAATGGAGACATTTTCCCAAGTTATCTTTTTCTTTTCTTCTCTATTCCCCTCTACTCCCACCAGATTCTGTCCTGCAGTCCATATCCTGGTAGCTTCCCCTCCCTTCACAGGGAATTCTATATGCAATACCTAAGTGAACTGTTTTGATGGTATAATATCATAAGGTTTTAGAAGATGCCCCAACAGGTCCCTTTGTGGACAGAGAAGAAAACATCAAGGGGAGCGTGGAAAACGTTTGTAGGTGGCAGTCTGCTGGGAAAACTGACATGGATCGTGAATCTCAAGGGTCAGCTGTTCTACAAATAAACGCAAGGCCTGTCCTGCTGATGGGAGAGGAAGCAGGGATTCCTGCCCAGGGAGGGCTGGGGCTTCACATCGTGAAAGCAGAGCCTCCCTGCTCCCCCCGAGCCGCTGAGGCAGCAGCTAGGAGGGCACTCTCCCCTGGAAGGCGTCCATGGCTGAGCAACTGGAGGAGGAAGACAGACAAGCCTTCAGGAGGCCAGAGGAGAGAAAACAGCCAGAAGAGCAGGTGAAATTTCAAGGACTGGGAGAAGGGAGAAGGGAGAAGGGGCACATGCAAGAGAAGCTCAGGGCGACGAGAGGCCATAGAGGGGCTTCAGGAGGGCAAACAGGAAAGCAGCTTCCTTAGCGGGACTGTCTGTCTCCTCTGTCCAGACGCCGTCCTCTGGCCCCTCCACGGCTCTCAGGCAGGGCCCAGCGCTGCCAGGGTGCACGGCTCCAGCAAGTGGCCCAGGGTAGGGAGCGGGACCCAAGCCAGCCATTTCTGTCCTTGGCCGACTGTCAGGCCAGGAATCAGTGCGGACCCAACACCCAGATGAGAAGCCCCTCCTGGGCACGTCCTCCTGCGGGAACCTGGGCCCGAGGGACACCCAGGGGCAGGAGGACAACGGGCCCAGAGGAGATGCCTGCCTGTGGAGAGCACAGCTGGGGACCAGGAGCGGCTCCGAGGGCAGGGACCCTTGGCAACTCCGGGAGCACTGACACGGCCCAGCAGAGGCCCACTCGGGTCCTCCCCTGCATTCCCTGAGCTGCCGGGAGTCTCCGCAAGTCTCCTATTTCACTTCATCGGCATCAGTTCACTTGCTTCCAAAGAAGGTGCTCCGTCTGCTCGGGCTGCCATAAAAGATACCATGGACACATGCCTTCCCCCCAGTTCTGGAGGCTAAAAGTCCAAGGGCCGGTCCCAGCAGGGCCTGGCTCCAGCAAAGGCTCTCGTCCTGGCGGCCGTAGTCTGCCTGCGACCCTGCCTTCACAGGGCTTTCGTCGGAGTGCATGCAAGGAGAGGAAGAGGGGTGCCTGTCTCTTTTCTCTCCCCTCCTTTCTTTGTCTATTTCTTTTGTCACCCAATGATATTTTTTCCATTGATTTTTAGAGAGAGTAGAATGGGAAGAGGGAAAGAGAGAGAAACAGTGATGTGAGAGAGACACATCAATTGGTTGCCTCCACCTCCCTGACCAGGGCATGGGATAGAGCTTGCAACTGAGATATGTGCCCTTGAAGAGAATTGAACCCATGGCCTTTCAATCCACAGGCCGATGTTCCATCCACACAAACTAGGGCTCTTCCTTTTCTTATAAGGCCATCAACCCTCGTGGATTAATGCCATATCCTTAGGCCCTGATTTGATCAATTATTTCCTAATGGCCCTATCTCCAAATGTAGTTAGGGTTCAACACATGAATTTTTTGGGGGGTGGAGGAAGGACATAATTCATTCCAAAGCTGTAGTGCCCAGAGGCAGCTATTCAGCAGAAACATAGAGTGTCCTGCACCCAGAGGGTTCCCCTTGAGACACATGCCCCTCAAAAAGCGAGGCAGACTTTGGGGAAAATTGGGGCTCCTTCTTTAACCATTGCCAAGCCAAACCTATAACAGAAAAGATGTTTGTGTCTCATTCACTTCATTCCATTTCAACTCACATTTTAAAAAATCCTCATCCAAGGAGAGAGAGAGAGAGAGAGAGAGAGAGAGAGAGAGAGAGAGAGAGAGAGAAAGAGAGAGAGAGCGCCTACCTTCCACATGCGCCCTGACTGAGCCTCTGGGGATCAAACCCCCAACCTAGGGATATGTCCTGACTGGGAATCGAACCTGTGATCTTTCACTGTACAGGATGATGCTCCTACCAACGAAGCCACACCAACCAGCCAGGGCCAATCCCCATTTTTAATTCAGCAGAGCTTCCTTGAGTTTACCTCCATCCTTCTCACCTATCATCTTCCATTCACCTTCTAAGCTTCGGGGCGGCCTGACAATGTTATGGTTTGTGTAACTGGCCTATGTCACAGAGAAGCAGATTGACCTGAACAGTGACAAATACACTGGATGTAGACCTAATCAAACACTGGGTGACTGTGTTGGATTTGGCAGTATCCGCCAGAGTCAAAGATCCAGTCGCAGGACTGCTGATGAAGATGCTCACAGTCAGAAGGATCCGCCTGCCGTAGAAGGCGGCGCCTGCAGCTGGACACTCTGTTCCATCAGGATGCTGTCATCCATGGAAGAAAGGAAGACTTGGCAACCAGAAGGAAGATGTCCCAAGAAACAGAATCAACCATGTGCTGACTGGCTAAACCGGGGAGTGGTGAGGGTGGAGGCAGGGCAGTGAGAACCCAGTTATCCCGGAGGAGTGGCGGGGAGCCCGCTACTCAACATCAGGGCTGCTGGTGCGGGTCTTACACCCACTGCCCGTCTCAGCGTGCAGTCCCGTTTTGCCCCGGGCTGGGGTAGGTGCTGGGGCAGGAAGGTGGGCAAGCTGGCCTCTCCGTGTGGCTTTCAGCAAGGTCCTACAGGACGCACAAACTCAGGCTCAAGATGGAAGTGGGAAGAGAGAGAGGTCACTTTGCTAAGAAGCCCCGCTCGTGCTGAAGCCTGGAACCCAAACTGACAACCGAGGCCTAGGCTTGCATCTCCCGTCGCGGGCACAAAAGCAGAGGCCTGAAGGGAAGGTAACCTGGATTTTGAGGGGCCATACTGCCGAAAACCTCCCTCCAGAGCAAGCTGCAACCCCCAAACACACAACCACACAGGAGCGGGCTGTGAACAACCACCAACAGGACCGAGGACACCGGCTTCTGTGAGCATCGTCCTAAAGGACTTCTGGGGTGTGAAACAGAAACAATTGTAGGTCGGAACTGGAGTTTATAAACACAGAGATTGGGAGAGGGATGGTAGAGATTTCTTACCCAAGGGATATACAAGAGAGGATGAACTGAAACTATGAAAAAGTTGTTACACCATGGCTTTGATTCCCCAGTGACGTTTCTCTAAGGTCCCAGAATCTACCCTTCAGCACAGCACACAGACTAGGCTGACCGTGGCTGTCACCCAGGAGAGACCTGTCTCAGAGGACAGGACAGAGAGGGAGGAGGCGGTGGCACTGAGAGGCTGTGGTGCTGCACATCGGCCTTCCGCCCAGAGCTCTGTGCCGGAACGTGAGTTTTCCTCATCCTGGCAAAGCCCAGGCGTCAGGCCGGACCACCCGGTCCTCCCAGGAACACTGTGGCCACGATCCTCCCGGCAGTGGGACAGTCGGCATCTCCTCAATCATCCGATGTGCCTGCCTCCCAAAGTATGGGACTTGAGCACTGCCCCTATGAAGTTATGGGACGGGGTGATGGGAGGCAAGCTTACGTGGCACAGGACACCGCGGTGAGTCACAACGAATCCGGTCCTGCGCGTGCAGGCTGCTCTGACTCCTCCACGTGCACAGGGAGAGACCTCAGATCTAGGTCAGCATAACTGTGGCAGCTTTCCCGCTCCGCCTCACCCCTCACAACAAAGACATGGCTTCTGGGTCACAGCCTCCTAGGGGCGGCGGGATCTGAAATGTATCAACACTGGCTTTGCTTCCACAGCCGTTCCCTTTTGTTTACCAGCTGTTTGCAGGCAGCAAAGGGCACTGCTTTCAACCTACTGCAGTGCCCTAGGATTCCTTTGTTAAATGGATTCGTTCTGAAAAAGCGGATCAATTTCTAAATGGCATGCAAGCGCAAGTGGCAAAAGTCACTCAGGTGGCCTGAAGTCTGGGGAACGTTTGTTTTTCTGCTGACCAAACCTACTTCACTTCCGCTCTGGGTGACTGCCTGCACTTCCCACTGGCCCAGGTGCCGAGTGCCAATGTCCCACCTGGTTGCAGGAGCAGCTTCCCTTCACAGGGCCCTTCTATAAAGTCCTGTGACCTCAAAGCAACCTCCCCAAGTGAGCCCACAAATGTTGTTACTCCCTGTCTACAGGTGTGCAGGCCACTCAGGGCCTTTGCGTGACTTGACCAAGGTCATAGGTCTAAGAAAGTAGGTGACCTTGATCTTGGTGCTTCATTTCTGGCTCCTGGTTTGTGATTCTGTCCTCATCTCTCAGCCCAAGTATAGTGTCTTTTTCTTTCTTTTTCCTCAAGAAAAGGAGAAGATGTGGAGATTATGAAAACTGACCTGCCACAGACCTAAGGTAGAGCCAAATAGCTAATTCCCTATTAATTCATATTCATGACCCTGCTATCTTTCAACGTGCTGGCTACACGGACACACGCATACCGCCGTAACAAATAAAATGACACACAACCACGACCTGTGGTGGCCACCGGCGAAGCCCCCGTAAGGCCTGCAGCACCCCTGCTGCCACACCAGGACTTTTCTGGTGGATTCTGGGAGAGAGGGGCACACTGGAACTTTACTCATAATGGCTGAGGCGTTTAGGGAATGGCTACAGGATGGAGACATCTACAGCGTCAACTTCAGGAAAAAGTGAATTGGTCCCCAGAACCCGAAATTCCCCCCTCATTACAGACACAACCACCTCCCACACCAGGACTCTCCCTTTTCCTCCCACCCGAGCCACGCTGGCCTGCACCCTGCACCCTGCGAACCTGCATCCGATCCCCACCGAGGGCCCTGAACGGGCTGCTCCCACGTGGCGGACAGTGTGACATCAGAGCTGTGCACGACTGCCTCCTCCCCATCATTTACGTCTACGATTGCATGTCACTTTAGAAAGCCCTCTTTGAGTGACCCCACCTGGTGCTGCCGCCCCCTCCTCAGCATCCCTCCCAGCATCCCCCGGGAGTCTTCCTGTGACTCCGGGCTGCCTGAGATGGGCGGGTGTGGCTGCGCACCTGTCCGGCTTCCCCCGCTAACTGGACCACAGCCTCCGGGAGAGGCCCGTGGCTCTGCTCACTGCTCCAGCCTCCGGGGCTGCCACGCAGACAGCCTCACACTCCCCTGCCCACAGCCCGAAGGCAACCAGGGTTCCTTCCTGGCTGCTAAGGTGAAAGCGAAGCTGCCCTCCTGTACCTTGTTCGGGAGGAGTCCATGTCCAGCACCAACTTCGCTAAGTGTTTCCTCTGCTTTTGAATATTTGGGATCTCCACCTGTGGCGAAAGGAGATGAAAGACACAATCACACTGAGGCTCCAAATGAATTCTTCAGGAGTGACCCACAGACACACAAGTGTGCCAGAGGTCTATCTCCCAACTCTTCTCTTTAGGTCAAACCCCCAAACTCTTTTCCTGACCTAACGCTGCTCGCTCTTCACTGGGCACCTGCAGCCACCAGAGCTGTGGCCCTGCCCTCGGGGGCAGGGCCTCATTCCTGCTGTCAACCGGGGGCAGATGGCCTCAGCCACCGTCCTTTCTACGAGGACCACCATGGGGACAAAAGCAGGTCTGACACGCAGACCTGACTCCACAGACAGCAGAAAAGTGAAGGGAATGGCTCAGGAGACCCGAGACGCTGTGGGGAGTGCAATTGGGGCATGTTTTTATAGACGATTTCTCCTGGAGTGTCTCAGAAACCAGCATCCCCATGGCTGTGAGGGAAGTGGCCACTGTGTGGATGCTCTTTTCATATTTTTATTTCTAAAAACGGCCTCACTGAACATTCCAGGGAGGGATTTTGGTTCCAGGCCCAGCAAAATTGGGGCAGGATGTGAGAAGTTAAAACGAAAACTGGCCACAACTGAACCAAAGTCATCTCAGGCTGTGGCTTGAAGAGGAGGAGAAACGTGAGGAAGATGCAGTGTTCCATGAAGTGCTGTCTAGCCATCCTTCTGGCAGGGAGAGCACTGGGCCAAGTGTAAGGACTTCCAATAGGAAGGAGGAGAGGTGTCCGGGGGACCACCCATCATCACAGAGCCCGGGGCAACGCTGGGAGCTACATAGGCGTCGGGGTCACACAGGCAGCCTTGGCCCCCGGTGCCCCTGCCCTGGGCACTGCTCCCAGCTGGCTACGATGCCAGGCCACCTTGTGAAGAACAAGGGCCCGGGACAGGCTGGGGGTGGCCTGTAGCAGGATGGGAGTGACTTGTAGCAGTATGGGGGTGGCCTGTAGCAGGATGGGGGTGGCCTGTAGCAGGATGAGGGTGACTTCTAGCAGGATGGGGGTGGCCTGTAGCAGGATGGGGGTGGCCTGTAGCAGGGTAGGAGTGACTTGTACCAGGATGAGGGTGACTTGTAGAGGATGGGGGTGGCCTGTAGCAGGATGGGGGTGGCCTGGAGCAGGATGGGGGTGACTTGTAGCAGGATGCAGGTGGCCTGTAGCAGGATGGGGATGGTATGTAGCAGGATGGGGGTGGCCTGTAACAGGATGGGGGTGGCATGTAGCAGAATGGCATCCAAGAAGCCTGTCCATATCAGAGCCCACAGCTCGGGTTTCCTCCTCGAATACTTTCAGGCACTTAGCAATCATTCCCCCGTGCATTCTGTCCCAGAAGTAGCAGCAGGGGAGGTAGCGGTGCTGGGGGTGGTCCAGAAAGGAAATCAGAGGTGGTCCAGGGCAGTGCTGTCCATTAGGTAGCCTCCAGCCCCGTGTGGCTACGCCATTTTATTTTCAAATCAATGAAAGTCACACAAAATTACAATCCGAGCTCCTCAGTCACTTTGAACACAGTCCCAGAGCTCAACAGCCACAGGAGGCAGTGGCACTACCCTGTGTGGGTGTGTGGGTATAGAGCCAGGTGGGTGCGGAGGTACGAGGATGAGGAGGTGTGCTGGTGCAGAGCAGTGCAGATGTAAGGGTGTGCATGAGTGTGAGGGTGTGCAGAGTGTGGGGGTGTGCCTGAGTGTGGGGGTGTGCATGAGTGTGGGGGTGTGCATGAGAGTGAACGTGTGCATGAGTGGGGGGTGTGCATGAGTATGGGGTGTGCATGAGTGTGGGGTGTGCATGAGTGTGGGGGTGTGCATGAGTGTGGGGGTGTGCCTGAGTGTGGGGGTGTGCATGAGTGTGGGGGTGTGCCTGAGTGTGGGGGTGTGCATGAGTGTGGGGGTGTGCCTGAGTGTGGGGGTGTGCCTGAGTGTGGGGGTGTGCATGAGTGTGGGGGTGTGCAGGTGTGCGGGTGCAGAGATGTGAGGGGGCGGAGTTGTGCAGATATGGGACCTTCCCATTGTTGCCGGTGGTTCTAAAGCCAGCGCCAGCATCAGATGGGTTTTGTAGGACCAACTAAAGGCAATGGGAGGAGCGCCAGGGTTCAAAGCAAAGAAAGTTCCGTTTCCTTTCTTACTTGTTTGACTAGCAAAACTGTCACACAGACACTGAGGTTTCTTGTTAATGAAATGGTTTTCTCCAGTTCCTTTACCGTCCAGGAGAAGAGACCTATGTAAGAGGTGCAGGAGGCCAGATGGGGGCTCAGCCAGGGATCCGGGCCCCTGAGGAGGTTGCGGACCCGTTCACGTCACTGAAGACTTGAGGGGGGTGGAGGGCAGGGTGTAAGGGCAATGGGGATCCCAGTGGGAACGGGAGGTGGGGGGGAATGCTGCCAGCTTGCCCCTCTCCCTGGAACGCCAACGGAGAGGAAGGTGGGCGGGAGAAGGGGCAGACAACACTGAGGGGCTGCCATGTCGGGCAATCCTGACCATGGGCGAGGCTGGTGGTCACCCCATGAATGCAGCGTCACAGAGCAGGTGGGGGACAGAAAGAGCAGGGAGGGACAGAAACACCAGTAGTGCAGGGGAAGGCTGCAGGGCCGCCCTCTGTCTTGCCCTCCCCGCTCAGGCCTGGCGCATCCCCTCCTCACCTCTGCCAGCAAGAACAGAGGCTCGATCACGTCTCTCTCTACTTGTAATTCGAAATGAATCAGCTCCTGCGCCAGCTTGTCCTCTGTCTCTCCACAGAGCTTCAGCATCTTCCTGCAACAGAGGGAAAACCACGCTGCACCACCCGGGGAGCAGGCCACGGTGCCACGCCGCCGCCCTCCCGGCTGGCACACCTTCTTGACAGCGGTGCTAGTAAAGCGACTGCTTTCCCTGGTGCCCCACGGACCAACCTGCTCCATCCACTATTACTTCTGAAATGATCAGTTTTTTTTAAATGATGCTGAGTACCTACGGTGTGCCTGGGGCAGAGGGAACACTAGGGAAACACAGAGAGATACGGAGAGAAGACTCACAGACCTGTTAAGAGTCAGGGGCTCCTGCCTCCCCCTGGGCCCTGGAGACACTGTTTTCAGCAGGCCCTAGAGAACATCTCTCCCCAGCCATAAACTTTCTAATGCAGGAGGGACAGACAGAGCGGGAGTAGACATCCATTCCAAAGTTATTAATAAGGAGTGAAGAAAAACGGTCGAACGAGTGGCAAGTTTTACCATATTCCTAGATGCGAGACTACGTTTCCATTCCCCTGAATGGCATTCAGGGAGTCCCTCTCTTCTCAAATCAACAGACGCTTTTACACATCGACAAAAGCGGCCACTGTTATTCTAAGGTTAGTATGCACCTTCCCTATCCTGACTGGACCCTTCTCACCAATGTGTGTGTGTGCTCACTTACAGTATATAAAGCATCTCCTACTGTAAAGCGTTTACATAATGGTTTCCCACGGAACATGCTTTTTAAATTCATTGTTGTTGCCAAAACCGGTTTGGCTCAGTGGATAGAGCGTCGGCCTGCATACTGAAAGGTCCCAGGTTCGATTCCAGTCAAGGGCACGTACCTTGGTTGCAGGCACATCCCCAGTAGGGGGTGCGCAGAGGCAGCTGATCGATGATTCTCTCATTGATGTTTCTAACTCTCTATCCCTCTCCTTTCCTCTCTGTAAAAGAAATCAATAAAATATATTTTAAGAAATAAATAAACTCATCGTTGTCTCTGGGGCGTCCCCAACATGACACATACAGAATTAAGCCGTTTAGCTGTCTGGAGTTCCTTTCTGTGAACAAACTTCCACTGACTAACCCCACGGTCCACAGTGCGTGGCGGTGCATGGCTCTTCCACGCAGTGGCCGGCGCCTATGCTTGTGCAGTCTCTGCCTGTGTGAGGACTGTTCTGTGCGAAGGAGAGATGCTCACACCCTAAACCTCACCAGAGGCACCGATGCATCGGGGACTCCCACTGCTCTGCCCCAGGCCAGCCCTTGGTGCGGACAGAAACGTTAATCCCTGCCACACGGTGGCTACAGAGCATCCTCTCCTCCTGGTTTAATTCCCTTTGCTTGACTACCTGACCACCTTCTCATGTCCTGGGCCCAGCAGGCTCCCTCTTCTGTGAAGAGCTGGTCGGTCACATCTCTGGTTTTCTGTACTGGGATATGTCATTTGAATTCAGTGGTAGTTCTTTATATGCTTACAGACGTGGGTGTGGATACAGAGGGCATTCAAAGCCTCTCTCATAGCCGATATAAACATCAATCCCTAGGCTTATTTTTGTACCTTTTTAATGGTGTTTTCAACCTGATTCTTCTCTTACTTGCCTCCATATTTCTAATGTTCTTAATTTGTTCCAATTGTAAGCATTTGTTGTTGAGTGTCGAGGATGGAAAAATGGGAAATTAGCTGTCTTTACATTGCCCTCCCTCCATTTAGTAAGACCATGGGGGGGAGGGCTGAGCGCTGCCTTTCAGAGGGATGCCACTGGAGGAAGGCTGGGTCGGGCAGTGGCCAGTGTTTTCTCCTGCACATTGGTTTGTTCGCTCTGCAGCTCACAATCGCCTGGTTTAGATTTCCTTGTTCAGTCTTCTGTGGACCTGACTGAACCCCACATCCTCTGCCGCTCTCCTAGTTTGTCTCTTAGACACTGAACTACATTTGATGCGAATGAATTTCATCTTCCTGAATTCCTCCCTCTCAGATCCGTGTCTCTCTAGGCCACATGTGTCAAACACAAGGCCCGCGGGCCAAATCCGTCCCGCCAGGCCTTGCAATGTGGCCCGCACCGCGCTGTCATCACTGCACTCCGCTGCGTTTCCATCACAATGACAGTTTATGACTGTTCAGTAAACCATTCGGCCCGCGATTTAGGCTGGATTTTAGATTTTGGCCCCTTCTCTGATTGAGTTCGACACCCCTACTCTAGGCTGTTTGCCTTCTGCCCCGGGCACAGCTGTCTTCCTGCATTCCCCCCACCACCTCCCGCAGGTTCTCTCTCTTTCCTGTGAGTGTCCTGCTCCCTACATTCTGTCTGCCTTTCCTGGTCACTCGCTCAGCACACAGCACGTGCTGCCTGAGAAACTGTGGGTGGGACATCCATTTCTGAGAACTTACTCATCAGGACACGGCAGTCCACCCTAGCAACTGACAGCTGGGCAGACGGGCCTTCTCCCTTCAGGCTGCTGACAGCATCACTCCATCACCGTCCAGCTCCCATTGTTGCTTCTGGCAAGGCTGGGCACATTCAAATTTCTGACCCTCTTATTTTCTTTCTCTAGGTTTGCAGAATCTCTTATTTGTCACTGTGCTCACTAGTGAGCGGTAGCCCTGGCACATGGTTTAATTTTTTTTACTGTGTTGGGAGGTCAGTGGCCCTAACATGTCCTTTGGTTCTGAAACAATCTTTCAGATCATTTTATCATCATCATCTTCATCACCATCATCCCTTTATCTCCTCCCTCACAACTCCTGTCATTGAACCCTAAAATGTCCCCTACTTTCCCAACTTTTCTATTGTCTGCCCTCTTTTCTAGATTTCTTCAACTTTATTTTCCAAACCTACTGAGAATGTCATATTCTTCATTTCCATCAGCTTGCTTTTGATCTCTGAGTTCTTTTCCCATAAATATTTTTATTCACATCCTATTTTCTGTTTAACAGCGGCTTTATTTTTTCTTCTCACTTGAAAATATAAGTGATAATTTTCCTGAAATCTTCTCCTCCCCCAGACAATATCTATTTCTTCCTCATTTCACTCTTGTATTATTTCTCCAATTGTTTCGATGTCTAAGTTTCAAGTGCCTGGTAGTCTTCGGTCCAATCTGCCTGTGAGGGTAGAAATCAGCATCTTGGAAACTGAGCGAAGCTCAGAGCTGGGAGCTTGTCTGCAGGGTGATCCAGCTGGGCCTTGTGCTTCCAGCACTTCCCCCTTCAGCGTCTTCCAGTCTGCAGTTCGTTCCCATGGGGCTGAGACACCTCACAGAAGGCTCTTCCAGTTCCGTGTTTAGGGAGGAGGGGCTGAGGGCTGCATGAGTGGGGAGACAGCTGGAGTCTCAGTGGCCAGCTGTAGGAGGTCACTAAGCTTCTTCCTGAATAACCAGTACCCTTACCTGGTGTCCCGTCTAGAGAAGCTGTTTTACCCAGAGAATAAAGCTCCACAATTCAGCTGGGATGGGGTGGGGGATGGGGGTAGGAGTCTCCCAGAGGTAAGTGCTGGGTTTGAGCAACCCAAGGGGTACTTGACTAGCTTTTCAATCCACACTCGTAAGTTCAATCACTTCCTCAGCCCCAGAGACCCACTGTGCCAACATGCCTGGTGCCACCAAGCCTGAGCCGTGTCCGCATATCAAGGAGTGAGTGGGGTTGGCTCTCTGGATAGCCTGTCTTGGGAGTAAGGTTTCGGGAACTTGAAAGTCAGTTCCCAATCAATCTTGTTTTAGAGCTCATAAAGTTTTGTTGCTATTGTCTTCTCTCTTGCCTTTCCTCTTGTTTTGGGTTTATGCCTTTTAAGTAAAAATGAATCTCTTTGTTGTAGTAGATTTTGAAGAAAAAAAATTAGATGCCTGTGTTCAGTCCGTCATCTTTACCTGGGTGTCCTCCATCCCTTACTCTCAACCGTGTGTGTCCTGGTTTAGGTGTGACTCTTAGAAAGAGCATATAATGATTTCATCTATCCACCTGACATTCTCTATATTGTGAACAGTTGAGTTTTTTTCCATTTAATCTCTAACCATTACAAAAACATACAGTAATATCTGTTACCCCCATTTTCTGTTTTCTTTATGCTTTTTTTTTTTGCTTATGTTTTTCTCTTTTAGTCCCTTCTATGTTTTTTCTATTTTATTTCCCTCTTTATTTTTTATTTATTTTTTTTTACTATTTTGAAGTTACACATTCTATTTCTATTCTTTTAGTGGTTACTCTAACTTTTCTAACTTGTGCATTTACTTTAAATGTATTACCTTTATTCTCCTTCCAGACAATGTAAGGACCTGAAGCACAACCTCCTTTCCAACATTTCATGTTAATATTTTCTAGTATTTTAGTGTCACTCTGCTTTCAACTCCCATCAAATTAATCATTATTATGTATCTACCATTAACTCAATGCTTATTAATATTTACTTACACTAAAGGGTAGCAGAATGTGCCGAAATATGCCATGATGGCATAAGGATTATTTTGAGCTGAAGGTGATTGAGAAGATTCAGATACAAAGTAAGCCTCTACACGTACCCCAAACCCCTTGCCCCCCACTTGCCTAAAAGTACAACATAAATTTGTAGGGGTGTCTCTCCTTTCCACACAAGGAGAAAGGGAAGGACAAAGGGAACTCTGGGCTCTTACCACCTAGAGAAGGCCCCAAAGAAGTAACGAACTTTACTAACGACTCTTATTTTCCACTAGTTTCTCCATATCATTGCCTTCCCATAATCTGTCGCCCTAGAAACTCAAATTCATTTCCCTTTGTTTTGCCACTTCTCTAAAAATTATTGTTCTTTTGTTGAGATCCTATATAAGCTGGTTTTAGCCCCTCCTTTGAGTCACTAATGGCCGAATCCTCCTATGCATACACACTGCACACAGTAACAAAACTTGCATTAATCTGTCCTTTCCCATTTAATTTGCAGAGCCACAGGAGAGGAAATACATAGAGGAAAAAAGACTTGTTTTCATTCCCACCCCATAGTCACTATTTTTTTCTTCTTTACAAGTTCTATCTTGCTACTTGCATTTCATTCCTGTCCTCTGGACATAATCTATTTCACATGAACTTAACTAGTTCTTTCAGTGAGAATATACAAGCAGTAAATTCTCTAAATTTTTGGCTGAAAATGTTGTTATAATCCCTTTATTCTCGAATAATAATTTAGTTTGTCATAGAATCTTGCATTCCTGTATTTTCGCTCAATACTTGAAGATTTTCCTTCGTTATTTCCCGGCATTTATTTTGGCTGATGAACAAATAGTCTGTTATCAGTCTAATTACTCCTCAATATGTAACTATCTTTTTCTCTGCTTAAATTAATAATTTCTTTTTCTCTGCTTAAATTAATAATTTCTTTTTCTCTGCTTAAATTAATAATTTCCAGTTTTATGACAATATGCTCAAGGATAGATTTCTTTGTGTTGATCTTAATCAGGACTTTTTGTGCTTCTTAAATCTAAAGATTATGTCTTTCATCAAATCTAAAATCTAGAAAAGAAATATTTAACCATAAACTTTCCCTCTCCATATGTTCTTCTTAGGAACCACTGCTAGACACAGTTTTGTATTCCACCATCCAAGCCACTCCATTTAATAATGTCTACATCCTTTTCTCTTGTACTTCATTCTAAGTGGTGACTTCAGATCTGTTTTAAAGTTCACCAATTTTTTGAGTGCAATTTTCTGTTAATCAATAAGGTTTTATATTATAGTAAGTATTTGAATTTTAAGAAGTTCTATTGTGTGTGTTTTTTGTCTTTGATTCTGCCTATATTTTTCATATTGCTTGCTTCTTTGGTCAAGGATTATTTTGTCCTTACTTAATTTTTAAATTGAGGCATAATTCTATAAATAAAAGGGTAATATGCAAAGTGACCCTAACAGCAGAACGACTGCTGGACCAGACACTATGAGGCCCACTGACCACCTCTTGGTCCCTTTCCCTGGCCAGCAGGCTCCAATCGCCTGAGGGCACCTGCTGCGGGGGCAGGGCTGGCAAGTGGGTGGAAACAGTTAACCTCTTGGTCCCTTCCAGCAGCCATCAGGCACTGATAACCAGATGGTGAATGGGGAACCAGGAGCGGGATGGTGGTAAGGGGCGGGGTCAGCTGCAGATAGCTAGGGAAGATGGCCCTGATCAGAGACCAGGCCTAGGGACCGTACCCACACATGAATTTTGTATGCCGGGCCTCTAGTTGACATATAACGTTGTATTTGTTTCAGGTGTACAACACCATGACTCGATGTCTGTGCATACTGCAAAATGACCACCACAATGGTCGGGTTAACACTTTCCACCATACATGGTGACAACATTTTTCTTAAAATATGATTACTTCAAAAATGTACCCTGGCACAGGCGGCCGTGCTAATCTTCTATGCATTATTCCAATGTTAGTACATGTGCTGCCAAAGCAAACAGTGGCCTTACTTAATTTTTAAATTTCATTTTAAACATAATTATTTTATATTTTCTTTCAGACTGTCCTATTGCTTTTGTTCCTAAGGGCACTGCTTCTCTGCCTCATTGTGCCTGAGGAGTCTCTCTCATGTCCATTCTATTTTTAGCCTATTTTTATTATAAGCTCAAGGCCAGCCAGGGCTGCTCTTCTGGGAATCCCATACGTTTTGACATCTGACATTGAGAGGACTCATATCTGCATTTACTGGGACCCTAGGGATTTCAATTGTCTGTCAGCAGTTTTATGTTAATTCTCCGCCTGGGAGGTGCCCGGCAGTAAATATAACTGGGCCTGGGTTTTGCTTCTCACCATGAGAAGCAAAACCCAGGCCCAGTTATATTTACTGCCCTGTTATATTTACTGCTCTTCCTCTGCAGGGAGTCCATGGCCAGACTAAAGGCGTCCTCAGTGCTGGTCCAAGCAGTGCTGGTCCCCTTTCTTCGGATGGGGACTCACCTAGATTTGGCAAACCCACGCCTGGTGTCACCTTACCCAAGAAGTGTGTCATCTCCCAGGATAGCTGACCCTTCCATCAAACACTGGGCCAGTGTCGTCAGAGGCAATTTTTTCTGAAAGGAAAAAATGGTTGCAATGAAGACTACTTTCCACACTTGCCTGCTTTCCTTAAAACAGCAAAAAGTCAAATACTCACCTAGATATTACATTAGCCAAGAAACAAAGTAACTTTAAAATATGTTTAAAACCTAAACATATTTACAGGATGTAATAATGATGGGGCAGATTCGGAGATAGCAAAATTCAGAAAAGTAAAACTGCATTAAACTTGTCAATCTGGAAAAGAAGCCTAAAACTTATAAGCTGCTAAAATTCTAACAGAAAGTGGGACAGCAGCAAGAAAAAAAGAGAACATTTAAAAATTATATTAACGAAGATTGGAGTAATGCTTTAATTTCCAAAAATCAACTCCTCACCTGAAAACTGTATTAGCCACATTTTATATATGAGGCAGATTAAAGTCAAGAAAGAGAAAAGCCCGGCCAGTGTTGTTCAGTGGTTGAGCATTGACCACTGAGGTCACTGTCTGATTCCTGGTCAGGGCACATGCCTGGGTTGTGGGCTCCATCCCCAGTAGGGGGTGGGCAGGAGGCGGTCTATCCATGATTCTCTCTCATAGTGTTTCTATCTCCCTCTCCCTTCCTCTCTGAAATTAAAAAAAAAAAAATTATTAAAAAAAGAAAACAGTTTTCACATGCCATTACAATACAAAGAATGTAAGCTTCAACAAAAAGGCACACTCCAAATAAGATAAAATAGTCCACAAGCACATGAAAAGATTCTTAATGTCATTAGTAATTAGGGAAATTCAAATCAAAGATACCACCACCTCGAGATACCACCTCACACTAGGATGGCTATACTAGTATAAATAATACATATTTGTGAAAATCAGAAAGTGAGTATTGGGGAGCCTATGGAGACACTTGAGCCCAATGCCTTGCTGGTGGAAATGCACAGGGGGCAGCACTGGGGGAAAGTCCAGCAGTGTTTCAATCAGGTAGATAACTGTCACATGGCCCAGCCATCCCACTCCCGGGCAGACACTGCAATAACTGAAAACAAATGGTCCGACAAAAACACGCACATGAATGTGAACAGCAGCCCTGATCACAACAGGCAGAAGGCGGGAACAGCTCAAAGAGCGAGTGGAAAAACAAAGGAATGTTACTCAGCCATAAAAAGGAGTGACGTCTTAACACAGGCTACCACCTGGATTAACTGGAAAGCATCATGAGAAGGGAAAGGAGCCAGAGACCATGGAGCACATACTGTATGCTTCTATTATATGAAGCGTGCAGAGTAAACAAATCCACTGTGGTGAGCTGGCACAGCCATGGCATACTCAGCCCCAGGGCACCTGATGTGCCACACCAGCTCAGCCCTGACGGGACAGTGAAGGATTGAGAAAAGACAGACAAGAGAATGAAAGCTGGGTCTGGGTGGGACGCTGTCCTCTCTGATGGAACGACAGCGTCACGAAGTACAAGCAGTGTCTTTATTTTGTAGCAGATGCCATGAGGCAAAGTAAGGACCTGGCCAAGATGTTTACAACATTCTCATGAGTTTTGATCCTACTCAGTTACATGCACCTGAACTCTATCAAGCTCATATCACTCAGGCTCATGGGGCCACGTGTTTGGACTACAGGTTCAAGTTTACAACTACAGCTGTTGGCTATCACTGTGCGGGGAGGGCTCTGCCCTCCAGGCTGGGACTTGCCCGTGGCCAGGAGAGGACTGAGCCCTCTCATTAGTTCGAGGCTTGAGAGGCTTGAACCTGTCCAAACACTGTAGCCACTCTCCACAATCCATAGACACAGAAAATAGATTAGTGGTTGCTGGGGGCTGCGGGGAGGAGAAATGGGGAATGATTGCTTATAAATATGGGGTTTCCTTTGGGATGAGGAGAATGTTCTGGAATTAGATGGTGAGGGTAGTTGCACAAAGTTGTGAATGTACTAAATATCACTGAATTGTACACTTTAAAATAGCTAAAATGGTAATTTTTATATTGTGTGGAAAGGAGGGAAGAGGGAAGGGAAGAGGAGAGAGGTGGGCAGGGAGAAGAATATTGCTACAGGAGTGCAGCATGGCCCATGCCCTGCTTCCTACTGGGGCCCTCACCTCCTGGGCCCGCCCGCCCAGCACACACTGACAGTGAGGTAAGAGCTGAGAGCAGGTCCTCCGGCCCCCACTGCCACACCGACAGCCTTCAGGCGGAAAGAGACTGAACTGCACCCCGCCCCACGCCTCCTGGGGTATTCCTGGGGGAGCCTCCGCTCTACCCCATGTCCAGTCAGTATGGGAGTGCTGCCCAGGCACCGCACGGTGCTGAGTGACAAGAGACCGGGCGTACATCCTAGTGCAGGCAGACAAGTAATAAACTCAGAAACTCTGGAGGGAATCCTTTCAAATACCTGGGAGCCCTATGGACAAGAGGAAGTGAGAGGATGGGTCAGTGGGCGGCTGTGGAGTAAGGAGCAGGATGAAGGGGGTGACATTTAATATGGTCCAGAGTAAGAGAGTCAGCTAAGCCTCAAGAAGATCTGAGAGAGAACATTCCAGGTAAAGGGAGCAAACGTGCAGAGGCTGTGAGGAGGGAAAGGGCATGGCCTGCCCCAGGTCCCCAAGGAGGCCAACAGGCTGGAGCACAGGGGTGCCAGGGAGAGCACTGGGTGGTGGGCAGAGGGGAGATTATGTGGGGCCTGTCAGCCAGAGGCAGGCACTGGGTTTCACTCGAAGGGCATGAGGGGACAACCGGAGGGCTTACGAAGAATAGGGTCCAGCCTGGCTGGTGTGGCAGAGTGGCTGAGTACATCCTAGTGCAGGCAGACCTATGAACCAGGTCACGGTTGGATTCCCAGTCAGGGCACATGTTTGGATGGTGGGCTCCATCCCCAGTTGGGGGCGTGCAGGAGGCAGCTGATCAATGATGTTCTTTCATCATTGATGTTTCTCTTTCCCTCTCCCTTCCTCTCTCTTTAAAACAACAAACATTAAAAAAAAAAAAGAAAAGAAAAGGAAAGGAAAGGAAAGGAAAGGAAAGGAAAGGAAAGAAAAGAAAAGAAAAGAAAAGAAAAGAAAAGAAAAGAAAAGAAAAGAAAAGAAAAAGAAGATGATGCCCTAGTGGGTTTGGCTCAGTGGTTAGAGCGTTGGGCTGTGGACTGAAGGATCCCAGGTTCAATTCCAGTCAAGGGCACATGTCCAGATTGCAGGCTCCATCCCCAGTAGGGGGTGTGCAGGAGGCAGCCAATCCATGATTCTCTCTCATCATGGATGTTTCTCTCTCTCTCCCTCTCCCTTCCTCTCTGAAATCAATAAAAATGTATTTAAAAAAATAATAAAAATTAAAATTAAAAAAAGAAGAATTAAAATAACCCTAATCCTGAGACAAACAACTCAATGACTTGAGAGTGGGATCAGCTTGGAGATAGGTTTGGGACTCCATGGGTGGATTAAAATAACCCTAATCCTGAGACAAACAACTCAATGGCTTGAGAGTGGGATCAGCTTGGAGATAGGTTTGGGGCTCCATCCACTAGAGTGAGGAATCTGGTTTGAACAGCTCCAGGAGATCTCCACCTTCTGAGGCACCTCCAGGAGAGACCTAGGGAGGGAGTTCAACTCCCATGCGTGACCTGGAAGTTCATGTGGCTCCTGAGGTGACTCGGGTGGAGAGAGCCTTGGCACCTGTGTGGATCAGGCCTTCGTCCGGTCTAAAACATACCCCTCCCTGCCTTAGGCCACTCCACTGAAGCCAGATGCCCTTCACTCAAAGGTTAAACGTACTGCCCCATCATTTCAGAGAAAATGGAACATCCTTCGAGCAAAAAACCAGACCAGGCAACTCAGTAATAATACATTCAAATTAAAGCATGGCTTTCGGACTGTCCTACAAAGCTGTTAGGTACAAGTTTCTAAGCGACTTAATTAAAGGCACAGGAGAGAATATCTTAGGAGAGCCTCACCTATTAAAAAGGCTTATTTAAAGCAAATCTTAGAAAATCTCTGAAGCAGTTTAAAGAAAAGAATTGAGCAGCTGTACTTGTTATGCTCACAGAGAACATGGCGCTCAAGGTACAGGTTCTTCATGGTGTGATCCGTGCCCCTGGGGCATCTGGCAATGCCTGCAGATGGTTCTGGTTGTCACAATGTAAGGAACATTACTGGCATCCAGAGGGTAGAGGCCAGGGCTGCTGCTGAGCAGCTTACAACACTCCGGAGTCTCCCAGAATAATGGATTACCCAGCCCCAACACAATGGGTGCGGAGGCTGAGAAAACTGGCCTAAGGCAAGGTCTTCAATCTGCAAGTTCCTAAAATATTCTAGCAACCACCCGTGAGGACCTTCTCCCTGGGTCAGACAGCACATGTGGCACTGTGCGCTCACACAGGAAGGCTGTTCTGCTTTTTGCAGGATCCCAGAGTCCCATGACCCTCCTTTAGGGCAGGGCCACAGCTCTTCCGATCCTTCAGAATCTGACAAGGAGCAGCTTAGCATAATGGCTCTGAACTTCAGCTCTGATGGTCCTCACAGGTCATTCTAGCCTAACAGTGGAGCCAGAATGACAGCGGCGGGCTGTATTCCTTTATATTATTCACGTTATGCATTGTGATAGGCATTTACATGCATCACTTCACTGAATTCTCAAACACCCTCCTGGGTAGGGATTCATTATTGCCATCCCTGCTTTCTAAATGAAGGAAGCAAGGCATAAAGAGGCAACTGATCCCCAAGGCCAGGCAGCATTAGGAAGCAGGAGAGCTGAGTTTCACCCTGGGCTAGTCAGGTCCAGGGCTGAAGTTCAGAGCCATCATGCTGAAGGATCCAAGCTGGCTTGCTGGTGTGTGAGGCATGTTCCACGCCCAAAATACTCATGGGCCATCCATCCATCCATCCATGACACAATCTATTTTTAGCATTGCCTGGCCTGTGGCAGGCTTTGTTCCAGGCATTAAGAATATAGTCGTGCCCTAGCTGGTTTGGCTCAGTGGTTAGATCATTGGCCTCAAGGACTGAAGGGTCTCAGGTTCAATTCCAGTCAAGGGCACATGTCTGAGTTGCGAGCTCGATCCCCAGTCTGGGGCATGCAAGAGGCAGCCGATCAATGATTCTCTCTCATCATTGATATTTCTATCTATCTTCCTTCCTTCTTCCTTCCTCTCTGGAATCAATAAAAATATATTATATTAAAAAAAAAGAATATAGTCGTGACGAAGAGATGAGATCCCTGCTCCCACGGAGCTCACGTATCAGTGATGGGGAACAGACACATGAGCAAATCAATGCTCACAGTGATTCCAGAGAATAAAGTGATATGCAGACAATAAAATGGGGTGCTGTGACTGGGTTGGAGGACGCAAATGCATTAGGTGGTAGCAGAAAGAATGGAACAATGCCTTGCTGGCCTAAAATACTGGGTAAGAATATTCCCTGCGGAGGGTAGAGCAAGTGCAAAGGCCCTGAGGATATGACTGAGCATGTTCAGTGACAGGTCAGTGCAGCCAGAGAATAACAATTGAGGGCAGGGGAGCAAGAGCTGAACTCCAAGATGCAGGGTCCCAGGGCCAAGATAAGGAGCTGGATTTTATTCTACAACCGGAATCCTTTGTGGGATTTAAGCAGGAGAGTGGCATCAACTGGTTCCCATTTTAGACACTCAGGTTATAGAGAATGGATTGTGAGGGGGTTGGGGTCAGAGTGGGGAGTGGAAAGGCTGCTAAGAACCACTATGTCAGGCCAGAGATGATAAGTGCCTGGCCTGGTGTGGCCAAAGCTGGAGCCAATGGAAGTGCTCTGGAGGAGGAGCCAGCAGGACTTGGTGAGTAGATGAGGGGAATGAGGGATGGAGTGGGTTTCAGGGCCCTAGTTTGAGTGACTGCTGAGTAGATGACACTTGATAAGATCACCTAGGGAGAAAATATGGTCCTTAATCAAGAACTCCCCATGAACTATAGAGTTTTCAGCTCTATCAGGAGCAGTACCTGGCAAAGAAAAACAAAGAAGTCGAGAATAGTCTATAGTAAATCCACTTACCTGCTTAAATACAGATCCAGACATCATCCCTTATCTCTCCTCCCTTTCCGTACCCCACACAGCTGGTCCTTAACAAAGTCCTAATGGTGTCTGTTCATCTGTCCCCATCACCGCTTTTCTCTCCCTCTGCTTTCTTAGTGTTTCCTTCTTTTTTGCTTTTCCACACTTTATTTTTTGTTTTTATTAAATTTATTGGGATGACACTGCTTAATAAGGTTTCAAGTGTGCATTTCTGTGACACATGATCTGTGTGCCCATCACCCAGTCACATCATCTTCCCTCTACCAAGTTTCTGGCCCCTTTACCTTTTTCTACCCCACCCCCACCCTCTAGTAATATGGTACAATTGTCTGTATCTATTAGTTCCCCTCCTTTCTCCCTCTCTCTCTTCACCCATCTCCTTTCCTATTAATTACAAAGAACTAGGCACATATTTCAGTATTTGAGGCAATTAATAAGTCCTGCTTCCCATTAAATCTCTTGAAGTGCTACTCCAGAAAAAAACTGAAAAATTTAGCCTCGGAAATATTTTCCTGCAGGTCTTTGACTTTCTTTTCAGCCAGATCACTTGCATTCTAGGAGAGAAAAAGGAATCCCTGACGGAATTAAGCACGTGAAATATGTGTAGTGAAGTCACGGGTGTGTACATGCCTGAGCACCTACTTCCACCAGACGTCTTCAGGTCAGCTTCATTGATAGGTTAGTCACTGCCTGCCCACAGGGCCCAGCCACACTGCAGGCCTGTCTTCCTGCTAACCAGGCCCTGGTGGGTGTGCTAGCAGGTGAGTCATGGACAGTCACGGCAAACCCATTTCTCTCGGACACATATTCACCTCTCAGCCTCCCTTGCAGCTAGGTAGGGAGACATGAAAGAAAATGTTCTGGGCAGGATATTTTTCTCCCGGATAAGAACCCTCCCACCACCCTCCCACTTCCTGCCTTCAATGTGGCTCTGTGTAGACCTAATGCCTAGAGCTGATGAACAAACCTGGGACCAGCCACTTCCAACAAGTTAAGTCAGTCACTCACGCTTAATCCCCGAATTAATTAACTATGCTTTTTATTTTTTCCATTCTGAGGCTTTGGCATCTGGGGCCTGGCTAACCTTGGAAGGACTGCCCCTCGGAGGGTTAGCCAATTCCTAGGGACAGTAACTAACTCTCCTAAGAATGTGCCTTTCAAATGCAAACCAACCAATGGGGAGCACCCACCACTTCCCTTATAGGGCCCTCACACTCTAGGCCACCACCCATCTGCCCCAATCCCCCAGCTTCCAAGCAGCCGCTGTGGCCCTCCCACCGCTGAAAGCATTCAAACTAGCCAACCAGAGCCTGCTCAGCTGCCTCATCTGCTTCATCCCCTGACCCTGGTGCTTCTCTGTGAGGCCCTGAGTGGCACGGTGCCCTTCCTCTGGGGAACTGTAAGTCACAAACTATCTTCTCAGTGCCAGCCATCCCCCAACCCGTTGGCCTTGGCATATCTCAGCTTTTCTATTAACACACTGTATTTTAGAACGCTCAGGGAGGGTCAATTATCCTAACTGAGATAATCTGCAAGACTCTCAATCCAATTAAAACTCTACAAAGCTAGGTAATGTTATTTCATCCCGGACCAATAATGCTGGTAGCAATCACAGCAACGCCAGTTTCAAGCCTCAGGAGGCAACTCATGATACCCAGACACTGCGCTGTGGATGCATGATTTCACAAACAGTGCTTCTTGGAACAAAACAAAGGAGGTGGGCGACGGGCAGGCTGGCTGCCGGCTCCCACCAAAACTGCACCTGAGACTCACTCGGAGGTTTCTGTGGCTAAAGGGTTTCATGCCCGAAGCAATTTTGCAAACTCTCCCTTTGACTGTCCAGCTTCCCCTCGCTGAAATCCCTGACGGACATTTTACTTAAACCACACGTGAGTGATTCTTGCTGGGGACATGAGGAAAGATAGAACCGGGCTGGGAAGAAAAGGAATGATGGGCAGCACGTGGAACGGGTCCCATCTGCAACAAGAGAGGGGATGAAGGGCGAGGCAGGCGCACTCCATGGCAATCAATGGAAACGAGGCCGACACAGGGGTGTGTGCAGGGTGCTCTGGGGGACCACCAGGAAACGAAAGTCAACAGTAACTCCAGGACAGAAAAAACTCCAACAGCCCTGGCCGGTGAGGCCCCGTTGGCTGGAGGGTTGTCCTATTCACCTAAAGCTTGTGGATTTGATTCCCGGTCAGGGAACATGCCCAGGTTTCCAGTTGGATCCCTTGTCAGGGTGTGTAAGGGAGGCAGCCAATCAATGTTTCCCTTTCATGTCAATGTTTCTCTCTGTTAACCCCTCCCCTAAAATCAATTAAAAAATAACCCAGTGAGGATTAAAAAAATAAAAATAAAAAATAGCCACCAAACATGTTGATTGTAAATTTAAGGAAAGAAAAATAAACCTCCTAGATTGCATATCCCATCTAAGAATATATTTTAATCTGGTGGAGAAAAGAAGGCAGGGGTCTCGGAAGTGAAGTGAGCCTGCACCGACAGTGGTCGGCAAACCTTGGCTCGCAAGCCACATGTGGCTCTTTGGCCCCTTGAGTGTGGCTCTTCCACAAGAACCACAGCTTGGGCGAGTCTATTTTGAAGAAGTGGCGTTAGAAGAATTTTAAGTTTAAAAAATTTGGCTCTCAAAAGAAATTTCAATCTTATACTGTTGATATTTGGCTCTGTTGACTAGTGAGTTTGCCGACCACTGGATTAGGACTACCCAGTGAGATCACATGATGCAGCGCCTTATTACTAATGAGGGCTAGCCACAGACAGGAGAGCACTTTCCTTTAGCACGCTCTCTTCATTGTTTCCTTACAGCAAAAACTGTTTTCCAGGACCTTTCTAGGTCACGTGTACCTTCCCAAAACAGTATAACTTTTCCCAGGAGATCTTAGGACACTATTGAGGCTGTGGAACCTATAAAGGAGCTGCAACAGGGCTAAGAGCAAGAGTAAAGCCCCCAAATGTGGGATCTCAAGCCTCTCGGCTGCCCCGACAGGGAGGACACGGGGAGAAATTTGCAACCTTGCCTGCTGAGGGCAGAGGATGCTCCAGGCGGGGTTCCAGGGCAGGGAGGGGCACACAGGAGCTATCCCGGAGGTTGATTCTCAGACACAGAAGTGACTGTATGAACAGTGATAGGAAACACAGCCCTAAGAATAGGACCCTGTCATCGAAGGGAGCCCTGTCATCAGAGGGACCCTGTCATGAGCAGCCAAACCTGAACCTGCCCGTGGCTGGAGGGCACTTACAGAGCGCTTGTCGGCCTCGGCGCCTTGCTGGCCCTGGAGACACGCGGTCAGCTTCTTGTGCGTGCTGTGCGAAACCTGCTTCACCAGCTCCAGGCGCTTCTCCACCTGCACACAGACAGGGGGTGGTGTCACGGGGTGCGGGCTAGGTCAGGGGGAGTCCTGGGTCTGGATCCGGGTGTGCTTCTGCAGAGAGGGTACTGTCGGGAGACACCTCCTTCTGCAGGACTGGAAGGGGCCTGGTCTCAGGGATGGGGCCACTGCTAAGCGTACAAGGAAATGACTTCCAATGGCTCCTAAAAATCTCACCCAAGCTGGCAACCAGAATGCCGGGGACTGCTGCACAGGACAGAGCCTGTCTCCCCACGGACCTGGTGGGGGCAGCTCACGGTGACACACACTGGGGAGGGCCTGCTCTGACGGGTAGGACAGCCTCGCTGTCCACCAGCTGAGCCGGGCAGCCTTACCTGAAGGAGGTCTTCACTCAGAACTTCAGTCTTTTCTGCCCTAAAGAGAAAAATGAGAAAGCCATCAGCCAAATAAACAAACGCGGACCATGTTCTCATACTTCCTCCCCACTATGTCCTCTCATGGAGAGATGAGGAAAGTAGAGACAATAGGAGCAATAATTTATAAGAGAAAACATCGATAATACAGAAGTTGACCACCAACTTAACATACTCTAGTAATTGCAAACATACTCTGCAGAGTTTCCTGCTACAGACTGCCACCTGGGTGAATGAAACAAACACACTTTTTGTCTTCCCAGTCCTGTTTTTGAGGGAACAGAATTAAGCGGGTTCTCCCGCTGATCCCTCCAATATAAACAACTGCCAACACAGGCTCAGCACAGTGTCCCGGTGACACACACAATGCTGACACGGAGACCAGTGCTGCGCCCTCTTTCCCCCCCCCCTCCCTTCCCAGTGCGGGGCTCAACCTTGAGATTTTCAGGGACAGAACGTGGACCAGCTCTGTGGGCAGTCCCGGCCTCAGGACAGAGGGAGACGTAAGTCTTTGGAGAACAGCACTTCTGATTCAGCGCCCGGAGATGCTCGGAGGGAAGGCTCAGGCGAGAGATGTCCACACAGGTGTGCTCTTCCTCTCCTCCCCTCTACTCAGCTCTCTCACACTCACATCCAATGCCAATTCACAGGAACACAAATCAGCACTTGAGCAGTATGCAGAGAGAGACTGATCTCATCAAAGAGTGTAACACACGTATAAAATATTGAAGAATGATGTATTAAAAAATCCGTGAGTGACAGGACTTCTGCCTCTGAGAATACGGAGTAATCACATCTCACCTACTCCTCTCACTAAGTATTATACAAACAAAACCCAGGGCACTACATACAAAACAAACATAAGAAAACTGCAGGTGGAGGACAGGCGGACTGGCTAGGAATCTCTGGACCCAAGGAATGGATGGTGGGAATTTTTTTGCTTCTTATGTTCCAAACTTGGAGCTCAGGAGGCTGCGACCTGAAACACCAAAGGGTGCGGACACAACGACCCACCCAAAGCCTGGTCTCTGTAACTTCCCTAGTGCGTTATTTATAGGCGATAACTGCTTGCTCAGCCAAACACTACAGAAAAGTCCGTTTTCCTGGCCCACCCACACAGGCAAAGGCTGAGCAGGGTGCAGGAAGGAGCCACCCTCCCCAGGCACCCATTCCACCTCCCTCCCCACAGCCAGGTATCAGTGCCAGGAAATAAATATGGAACTGGGACACGGGTCCCTGCTGGGCAGTGACAATGGGAACCACATGGGTAACCTGGACATCCACCTTCATTGGTGGTAGCGAAGCATCCTCTCTTCCCCGGGAGGCCCAGTGGAAAGTCAGGGCTTCCACCACTGCCCAGCAGGAAACCGGCCACCCTCTTCCCTGGTGTCAATGAGAGCCAAGGGGAGCAATACTGAGGCACGCTCCCCCTCCCAGCCAGGGAGGTATCAGTGAAGGCCTACAGGGGAGCCAGAATTCCTACTTCCACCCAGCAATAACGGGGAGCACCCCACTCTTGGGGAAATGGGGACAAGAAGGCCGAGTAGAGGACCTAGATTTTTATTCCCACTTGGCAGTAACAGAGAAAAATTCTACCTCCCTCTGCTGGCTTTGAGTAAAGCCAGCTAAAGAGAAAGTTTAAGTAAGGCCCAGTGTCTCATAATATAATACAATGTCCAGGTTTCAGTAAAAAATTACTCATTATACCAACAACTGGAAAATCTCAAATTGAATGAAAAACGATAAACAATAAATGTCAACATCAGGGATGGCAGAAATGTTAAAATTATCTGACAAAGACTAAAGTATTCAGTATATAAATGCTACACAAATAAAAATAGCAAGTCTCATAAAAGAAGAAGAAATGAAAATTTTACATCTGAAAATTGCAATGATGTAAAATTAAAAAACCCAGTAGATGAGTTCAACTGCAGACCAGAGGGGGCAAAGGAAAGAATCAATGAACTGAAAGGAAGCACAATAAAAAATGTCCTGATCTGAACAACAGAGCAAAAACAGACCAAACCAAGAACCAAATAAAAATAAAGTTTCAGGGACCTCTAGACCTATAAAAGAAGACTAAATATTTATGTCATCAGAAAAAGAGAATAAAAAAGACATTGCTGAAAAAGTATTCAAAGAAATAATGGCTGAAATTTTTGCAAATTTGGTAAAACACATAAATCTACCTACTGAAGATGCTGAGCAACCCTTAAACAGGATAAACACAAAAAAAAATTCTCACCAAAACTCATAGTTAAACTTCTATAAACTAAGACAAAGGCAATTTTGACACTAGTGAGAGAGAAATTAATTACACCTCACAAATGGAAGGAACACTTAGAATTATATTTCTTTTGAGAAATCATGTAGAAGAGAAGAAAGTGGCACACTATTTTTCAAGTGCTGAAAGAAAAAATCTCAATCTAGAATCCTATCCCCAGTGAAAATATTCTTCAGAGATGAAGAAGAAATCAAGTTATTCCAAGTTAAAGAAAAACAAAATAAAATTGTTATCAGTTGTCTAAAGAAAGGTATCTAAAAAAAAATTAGTTAAGAAAAGAACCTTGAAATATCAGAAAGAAAAAAGAACATGATGAACAAAAGTTGTAAATACAAGTCTTTCTCCTCCTGAGTTTTCTAAATTACATTTGAATGTTGAAGCAGCTCTTGTAACACTGGGTGATGTGGTTCTAAATGTACGTAGAGGAAAATTTAATAATTCTACCATAATTGGGGAAGGATTTTGATAGATTTCACTCAAATTGGTGAAATAATGATACCAATAAACTGTGATAAGTTATGTATATGTAATGTAATACCTAGAGCTTCTATTAAAAATGTTACACAGAGATACACTAAAAAACATTATAGATAAATCAAAAAGGAAACTAACCATAGAAAGGAAATAAAGAAGAAAAAAAAAAAAAACAAAACACCACAAAGCAATAAAAAAACAAAAAGAACAAATATAAAACAAAAGGTAAAATGGCAGACACAAGCCTTAATATATCCATAATAACATTAGATGCAAATGGTCTACATATGGCAATTAAATATAGAGATTTTCAGAGTGGATTATAAATATGCTATCTATGAGAATCTTACCTCAAATGTGATATAGGTAGGTTGAAAGTAAAAGGATAGGAAAAGCATCCTGCAAACATTAATCAAAAGGAAACAAAAGTGGCAAAACTAATTATCAGATAAAATAGACACAAAAAAAAATGACCAGAGAAAACCATAATATAATGATAAAAGAAACATTTCACCAAGAATATATGCCTTAAATGTGTATGCATTAAACAACAAAGCTGCAAAACTGATAGAATTGAAAGGAAAAATAGAGAAATCCACAATCAGAGAGACTTCAACATCCCCTTTGTCAACTATTGATAGACTAGCTATTTTTTTTAAATGTCAGCAAAAATATGTGAGAACACAACAGAATTTAATTGATATTTATAGAATAATCCATCCAACATTAGCAGAATATGCATTATCTCCCAGTTCACATACCAAGATAGAAAATATCTGTGTTCATAAAGCAAATCACAACTAATTTGAAAGAACTGAAATCATATGCAGTATATTCTCCTATAAATAATAGATAAGTAGAAACAAAAGTATAAATAATCCATGGAACAAACAGAAAATCACAAGAGAAATAAAATTACTAGCGTAAATAAAAATAAAATACAATATTTAAAAAATATTAGACATAGTCAAAGCAGTGCTAAGAGGAAAATTTATAGACTAACCTCATACATTAGAAAAAAAAGTTATTAAAAAAAGTAATCTCTTACTATAACAACTGAAAAAAATATTAATTCCAAAGCAAGCAGAAAGAAGAAAATCATAAATGGCAGAGATTAATAAATTTAAAACAAAAATAATAATAGAGAAAATCTATGAAAGAAAGAACATGGGAGGAAACCAAGATGGTGACATAAGGTATACACCTGTATGTGCTGCCTCTCACAACCACACCAAAACTACAACTAAAAGACAAAACGACTATCAGGCCAGAACCAGCAGTCCAACATCCCCTTAGGGGTCTCAGATTGGGAGAGGGCTCAGGTCAGGCTGAGGGACCCCATGAGTGCGCGAATCCTTTAGTATCACTAATAAAAATGGACTAAATGTGCCAGTTAAAAGCTAAGAATAGCCCTGGCCAGATGGCTCAGCTGTCTGGAGCTTCATCCCATACACCTAAAGGCTTGGTTCCTGGTAAGAGCACATACCTAGGTTTCAGGTTTAATCCTAGTTGGGGTTGTACAGGAGGCAACCAATTGCTGTTTCTCTCTCACATCAATATTTCTCTCTCTAATCAATAAAAACATAGCCTCATGTGATATTTTTTAAAAAGCTTAAAAATTAAAAAAGGCTAGCTCTGCACTAGTTATAAGAACTGTACCTAACCAAAGAACTTGTATGCATTATGCATAACCCATGGACACTGACAACAGGATGGTGAAGGCCTGGGGCGGGGTGTGGGGGTGGCCTACAAGTGGTCAAAGGGGGGGAAGGGGATAAATGTAATACTTTCAACAATAAAGATTTTTAAAAAAGAACTGTACCTAAAGCATAAACAATCAGAAACATTAGAGATAAAAATAGATAAAACACATAACAGGCTATTTCTAATTATTATTATATTATTATTGCCCAAAATAGACTATGAGGCAGAAAACAAACCACAAACTAATAAAGACACGAGAGAGAGGATTACAGTATAATGATAGAAAAGTTTAACTTGTTGAAAAGCTCTGAGAATTTTGAACTTGGGTATATGTGATAAGAATCACAAAACTGGACATATAAAATCTGACAGATGTCATCATTTCTCTTTCGATTAATGAAAAGTAAAGCAAAAAATATTAGTGAAGTCTTGGATGGTGTGGCTCAATGGTTGGAGTGCCATCCTAAATACTGAAAGTTTGCAGGTTCGATTCCAGGTCAGGGCACATACTGAGGTTTCAGGTTCAATTCCCAAGCCAG